GCGTGACTTTAGAGCAGAGGCTTCACATGTCGATAAATGTACATATACAAATTTACATACATATGAATATATATGCATAAGTAAATATATATTTATATGTATGCATAAATACAATTATTGCGCTGATAATTGACTGTATGCGCTCTCTCAGCGCTTTAACAACAAATACAATAAATAAAAAAAAAATAACAATAACAAGGCAACTTGTTTGTATTTCGTATGCGCCACCAAACAGACGCTAATAAAACAAACCTGTTGCGCTTAGCGGGGAGCGACACAAACAATATTCCAAATAAAAATATAATAATAATAATCAAAAGGGAAGAAATTGTTGCAATTATGCAAAAATTGTGTAGATAAGCGCAACAATGCCATAAAATTGCATACCTGCTGCCCAATTCGAGTGCAGCCAAGCTTTGCTTCTTCTACGTCTTCTTCTTGCTACGTATCAATGCCATTCGCGATGTTTCTACGTGTTTTGAACTGTGTGCAATTCCAGTTGAAATTTGTATGCACATATACATACATATACATACATATGTACATATTTTGGTGGAGCCAACTTAATCAGCTGTCCATATCTTAATCATATTGATAAATAGCAACAAATTGATAAGACAAGCGAATATGATTATTTACCATGTTCAATTTTTGTTATTGCTTTTTCTCTTCTCTTAAATATTTGTTATACACTTGTTTGGTTTCGTCATGGAAATTATGCAACGTTTATCGTTAATTAATAAAGGTCGAAATGTTAATTGGAATAAAGTTCAAGAGTACATACATATGTACATATTTACCTATCTATGTATATACAAACATATGGGTGCATATGTACATATATGACTATTCATACACATGTATATACATGGATACATTTATTTACATACATATGTATGTAAGTGCTGTACTCAATCCTTTCGATGGCTCAATGTTTGTGCAGACATCATTGCAAATATTTACCCTCCGACTAGTGTGGGGAACGAGCGCACAGGAACTTTTACAAATACAAATCTGAAAACTTCTATCGTTTTATTTGTGAGTCTATAAATATTTGACCTTTTATATATAACTACGAGCATTGGTATATGTATATAGATTTAAGGTAACTTTAATGAATTCTGGCTGCGATTCCCACTAAACCATACAGCTGCACTAAAATATCACGTACACTCTATATATTTTTATATATTTATTTATAGTGTTTCCCCAAATGCGTAAAATAAGCGACAACATACTTATTGAATGCGTGTCTTTATTGTAGAACTAGTAAGGAATAGCTTTGAAATTTAAATTTCTCAAAAAGTCAACTACAACTTCCCACGTCTATTTATAAATACAGGGATCGTGCATTTCTTAGAAAATATTTGAAAACAATATAGATAGGGTATCTATTGGCTGCCCTAAACAAAGAAATCACAACTATCTTTAATTAAATAAAATTGCTAACTTGACAACAAAGAATTTAGTTTAGTCAAAGAAAACCCTATAAAATCAAGCGTGTATAATGTATAATAAAATGTGCTCTAATTGGAATAGCACGCCTCTGACTCATAATAAAATATAAAAAAAGAAAGCAACCCTATTTTAAATATACATAAATACTTCTGAGTCACGGGCAAATGCTTTAATCGATAGCAATACTAACAAAAGTGCACATCTCTAATTACAGCACAAGGCCAATGGGATGGCGCTAATCACAACAATAACAACAGCAACAACAAGATGAAGAAGAAACCGAGCAAAACGTAGAAGGTGCAAAGCAGTGACGTCACAGCAGCAACAGATGAAAACGCAGCAGCTTACGGAATTTGGTATTGATGTAGATTAGGCGCTTAGCAGTTGTTCGACTGTTTTTTCTTTTTGCGTACTATATTTTATTATGCCTGAGACATATGATATACATACAGACAATTATAAATACCGCTATACAAATAACTATATATATAGATATATTATTGTATAAGTATATATTTATGTGTATATGACTGGCTGAGAGTGCCCCTGTGTATACCCAAAGCCGGGTATATGCAATACGATTACGATAACGATAACATACAATAGTTTAATTATATATGTATTTGACATACACATCCAACTGATATATAAAAGAAAACGTAATATTGAAATATTGTAACTGTTTAAGTGGACATTAGATTGATAAATGTTTAAATAGTATATACATATACATAATTGTGATTTAAGCGATTTTATCAAAGCTGCATTATGCAATTCTACATAAAAGTCGTCGTAGTCTCTAAGTGAAAACAACTACAAAAATAAATTTAAACTGCAATACTTGTAAATTACCAAAAAAAAAAAAAGAAATGGAAAAAACAAAAATCAAATGAAAATTCGTTAAAAATATAACAATTGGAAATGAGTGTAACAAGTGCCATTAGAACTAGCTAGCAGCAGTTACAGTGTGACACAGCAACAACAACAACAACTAGACAACAACAACCAACACCCATAACAGCGAAAAAACATACCCTAGCAAGATATATAGATTGCCAATTAATAATACTTTAAAATTTGTAACAACAGTATATCATGTATTAGAGAGCAAGAGAAAAGATATTCCCAAAAGAAATTCAAGAGTTGACATGGTTCTATATTCCATTATAAAGTAGTACAAACATAAGCTAACCCAATCTAAAAAATATATAAAAAAACCAGAACCATCTTATATCCCAAACATATTGTCAAAATCCATGAATTCTAAAAGAAATGAAAGAAAAACTGATTTGCCATAAACGTAGCGCACAAATGAAATACGAGAATTGAACTATACAAATGCGCTGTGCTGTTATCTAACTAACGGTAATGTGTGTGTCAAAAAATAATCATAATTCTCTATAGAGTATATATATTATAGACAAGGCACATACATATAACTAAAGTAGTTCCCATGAAAGTTTTTTCGCGCAGATGCCAAATACAAGAATAGTAAAGATAGTAAAAGGGAAATAGCGAGAGAGACAGAGAAAGCGATAAGTGGAAGATATGTGAAAGGAAAAAAGTTGAATTCCACAATATTTGTATGTACGTATGTATACCTTAGCCGAAATAATCAACGAGTTTACGTTTTGGCCTTTTTCGATTTAGTTGAAATATTTGAATGCTCTTTCCAAAATTTGTGTTTTAAAACCAAAACGTGTAGCTAGTCGTTGAATTTTGGGCTTTATCTAGCACAGGATTGAATGGAAAGAGTATAAAAATCTTCGGTGCGCCGATGCTTAGCTTTCTTTACTTGTTATATATACACATTATGATAATATATACAAAATTTTTATGCATTAGCTTTTAGTAGTATTTTTTACTCGTTTCCAACAAACCCAAAAAAGTCAATGGTAATTCCCATATTGCGGTTTTAGTAGCCAATGACTGCTGCTTAGGCGTCATAGTTCAATTAAAAATTTAATATAAATCAACAAAAGATATAAATGAAAAGGACAACAACAAAAAGGGCTCCTATTTTAATGCAACGCAAAGTTCACCCTGTGATTCTAACGGTAATGTGAAGTGTAAATCCTTGCATATTGACAATACTTTCTCTTGAAGTATTTTTTGATCGATATCGGTACATTTGGAGTACTTTTTAATGTCTACTTCGTCACGATATCTGCAATCACAGGGCGGGCACAATTTTAACTATTTAGCAAAGAATATGAAAAACTAAAACGAAAGTTACATTCAGCAAATAAGTACGTAAATGCATTTTTGCATAATTTAGAGCTTAAATGAATTATTCATTTTGATTAGATCGCTTAACGACGACGATGACGAGCGTAGCGTCTTATTTAGGCAAAGGCAACGAACGATAAGTATTTTTTGGATACACTGAGAGAAATATATATAGAAAAGTATTCTGAGCCGGTTGGCAGTTAACGCAGACATACCCGAACATACATAATCGCAAGCGCATTTAACTAAATAAAATATAACTAAAACAAAAAAAAAAAAAAGAAATCCAACGAAATGAAATGAAACTTAAGTCTTTAAACAGTAGCATAAATTTTTTATACGCAATTTTTATTGCAATTGTAAAAAAAAAAACTAAATAAGAAAACTGTTTGTCATCCAAGAAATTTTGATAAAATCCTTAATCCGTTTTATCCGTAACTTATGAAAAGAAAATATGCAAAGATCTATATATAATATACATACAAATAATTGGCGCTATTTCAATTTAAATGTAGTTAAAATACATATTATGCATAATTACATACGCCAATTGATATACATAAAATTATAATTAAATAAGTACAAGCAAATACTTACTGTGGAACTATACAAAAATCATATTGTGTGTGTTTTTCAAGACGTTCTATTCTTATTCTTTTTGTGTTTAGTCCGCTTTTGCATAGAAAATTCCATGTAATTTTTTTTATAATTATATTTTACTGCATTTCTTTTTGTCTGCAATCGCTTAACTAAGTCGTAATCGTATATTACGTATATTTAATTCTAATTATATAATATATACATATATATATATATATATATATTAATTTTGCAATCTATTATACATTTAATTTTAACAATTCTGAGCTGATAGTATGAGAAAATGATTATGCATATATTTAGTTTTAATTCACACACACCCACTACGATAATTCACCGTCGATTGAGCGTACGGTTATTTACAATTTTATACGCACAACTTGTATGTATTATTTTAGTTTGCACTGTAATTTTTATTTTGTGTTGTTAAATATATCGTTATTTACTTATTCGATCAAGCCTCTCTTATCTATTAATTCGATTCCCTTTAGCCAAAACGAAATGCACTGGATTTTGCCGTAATTCACACAACAAATTCCTTAAAAATATGCAGAAATAACAAAATTTTCCTCGAAATTTTTATAAATCAAATGGAAATTAATGCAATGCATTACGTACAATATAAATTTCCCACAAATAATTGCACTACAAATTTGCTTTATAAATTATGCGTTGCCAAGCACCATATTTATTTAAAAGAAACTGATTTTTATTTGTGGTCATTTTTAATTATAGCCAAATATCCTCTCGATATTTCCCCTGCGCACGCAATTCCTTCAGGTGCTGTGTGGCCTCTGTTTCGTTTAGGTTTAAAGCTTGTTGCAGACAGCAACGCAGACTTTCATTAATGGACTTGGAAATCTGGGCACCATCTGCACAGACGTATAAAACAGTTGTGGGCTGCTGCAACAGCTCTACAAGCTGCTCCGCATCCTGCTCCAATAATTGCTGCACATATTTCGGCTGGTCGTTCATCGATGTGCGGGAATAGCAAAGACGTAGACGTTGTATGATTGAAGATTTTTGCCAGTCAAGCAGCTGTTCATGCTTAAGCATGGCTTGTGGTGTCTTGGCGCCCGCATAGAGCCAGGTTTGGCCTGTGCTCCGTTGACGACGTAGTTCCTTGTGTGCCAGAAAGCCTAGGAAAGGTGCCAAGCCCGTTCCAACAGCTATTAGAATTTGATTGCTCCCCAGTTCCTCATCTGTGTATCGGAATGTATTCTGCAAGCGGGGATAAATATATAGTTGCACGGGCTTCTTCTGCTCCTGATGCTGCCCAACCATAGTCTCCAGCATGCTAGTCGTGACGCCCGGTTTATCTGCGCGTATAGAGTATATGATGCGCAGCTGATCGGAGCCCTCCAATGGGCTGTTAGCTATTGAATATGGGCGGGGTAGAAGACGCGGTAAGTGTTCTACTAGCAGAGCTAGAGTTGGCTGACAGCTGGAGCACAGTTCTAGCAGATCCAGTAAGCATAATCCACGTTCCAATATGAGCGTCTGGTAGTGGACGGAGCCTTGTTTGGAGGAGAGACTCGCCAGAAAAGAGCACTCTTTCAAGTCGCTAGTGCAACTGGCTAAAGCGCTGAGGAACTGCTTTTGTAGTACTGAGCGTACCGAGACACAATAAGTTAGAATTTCGCGCGGAGTTGTCGGCGAGGGAATGTGAACGGGCACTTTGGCGCTCTTCTTGGCGCAGTTTAAGGCCAGACTCACATGGCAGCTGCTGTCCGCCTGTTGAGTCAAGTTAAGGCGTTGCAGAATAAGAGCCACAGTCTGTGGCGAATTGTTGGGAAGAATGGCCACTGTATCCCCGGGATCATAGTCCAGCGCACCCAGCGAAGCTGTGTTCAACGTTAGCTCGACAACACGCTTCGTTGAAGTAGAAGCATCGGCGGCCACAAGCTCTTGGGCATCTGTTATGAGCACTGCCACTGGCGCATAATCAGCACGTGCGAAAGGAAACTTCAAGGCACTTCCACAATTCAGTTGACCACATGGATTATGCTGTGGCGTAATTGAGGTCTGTAATATAAATTGTTCAACATAACGCTTTCTGAAAAAGTGTACACGAACCTGTTCTGTATTGCTAAAGACAATTTCGAGATTGCTTTCCAATGGCTTGGCAGGCACATATTCAGTCAGCGTATATGCGTCAATATGCAAGGCATCTGCCGAATCCAAGTGGTCTACGCCGACCATTCTATTGCTTAAAGCTGAGCGATCAAGTGTGACCGTGCTTGGTTTGAACAAAAATTGCTAAAATTAATTAATACAGAAAAAAAGAGTATACATACAATAAATATATTCTAAGAACATTTCATTGCAGCATGGAATATATTTATTGCCACTGGTCAATTGACTTTATTTAAAATAAAAGATATTAAATAGATATTTAACAAATTCGCAATAAGTATCGCTTAACTTTATGCGCATCTCTAGTTGAGTGCTGCTTTGTTCTCAGAGAGCAAATAATGCATATTAAAACCAGTGTGCCTACACTAAGTGAGTGCTAAAATAAAAAGTCAGAAAACGCACAATAATACAAATCATTGCAGTCGAAATTTCTAGTACAAAAAGAAATTAATAACTAGATAACAGTATGGCAGGGAAAGATACAAACGATGAAGAATTCCAAGATGCACTTAGCGAGCCCGCGCCACCCTCACAAAAAGCTGCAACCAATAAGCCAGATCATGAGAAATTGATTGATGACATTATAGAAAAAAACAGTAAACTAAGTCTCACGGATGGAGAAGGAGGTGCCGCGGATGCCGAAGGTGCGAGCAATAAGGACAATGAAGATGACGACAGCGGTGACAAAGCCGATGTGATACAGCCCGATGGAGAACTAAGCTTAGAAGAGCTGCAACTACAGGAGAAAGAGTTGAGTGCCGAACAGCTGGCAGCTAACAAAGAGAAGGCGGAAAAGCTGAAGCTCGAAGGCAATGAGCTCTTTAAAAACGATGAGCCCGAACGTGCCATTGTTGTATACACAGAAGCACTGAACATTTGCCCCTCCGTGAATAGTAAGGAGCGTGCTGTGCTGTTTTGTAATCGCGCAGCGGCCAAGATGAAGCTGGAAGCCAATAAAGCGGCTATTAGCGATTGCACACAGGCCATAGAACTAAATCCAGTATATGTGCGTGCGTTGTTACGGTATGTGTAAAATATATTAAAAAAAAGAAATGCAGTTCTAATATGTATTTTTGTATTAGGCGAGCCAAGCTATACGAACAGGATGAAAGGCCAGATGAAGCATTGACAGATTACAAGCGTGTCTATGAAATCGATCCCGGGCAGCCTGATGCACGAGAGGCTCAAATACGTCTGCCAGCTTTTATAAATGAGCGCAATGAAAAGCTAAAAAATGAAATGCTATCCAGTTTAAAAGGTTTGGGTGATATGATATTGAAGCCCTTTGGCTTGTCTACCGCGAATTTTCAAATGCAACAAGATCCTAATTCTGGTTCATATTCCATTAATTTTAATCAAAATAACAGTTAGTAAGAAATGCCGTGTCAAGTTTGTTAAAAGAATAAAGTTGGATAAATCATAAGAAAGGCGTGTGTGAGAATTGTATTAATGTTCAGCTGATTGCCAGTGTGTACAAATATGGTGCGGCATACAACAGTGTGACCACTCACTCTTCCGAGCGACAGCTGACTTTGACACCTGCTGTCGTCGTACTGAAAACGAAAGAAGAAGAATAGTTGATTGAAAGCTGAAATTTTATGTTGTTTTTAAAGAAATTTTTACAAAATTAGTTTCGTTTAATTGACGTGACATTTTCGGAACCCTACATAACATAGTGCGCTGATCGCAAGTATCAGTGCTGCACAGTTATCAGCTCTCCCGTGTGCCAATGAGGCTTTTGGAAAGTCCTATTGTGTTATGACTTTGTAAATAATCATTGTGGACTAATGCTATTCTATTATTAGTATTCAGTGTACCTAGTTGATGTTACAGTTAAGGCATAGTGTTTATTAATACTCGCATAATGTTTCGCAGTCGTAGCTGGTTTGGCGGCCCGTGGGGTGGACGCCCCAAAAATCGGTTGTCATTGGAGCACCTTAAGTACCTGTACAGCATTTTGGAAAAGAACACAACCGTATCGGAGAGCAATCGCGGCTTGCTGGTTGAATCATTGCGCTGCATAGCTGAGATACTTATCTGGGGTGATCAGCATGACTCCCTGGTCTTTGAGTAAGCACACCAGTCTTTAAGTTAAATATGTACATTATAAAATTGACGTATTTTTATTTTCGCAGTTTCTTTTTAGAGAAAAATATGCTCTCGTACTTCCTGCACATTATGCGTCAAAAGAGCGGCGGCTCTAGCTATGTTTGCGTCCAATTACTTCAGACACTAAATATTCTCTTTGAGAACATCAGAAATGAGACGTCGCTATGTATGTAAAGATTTGTTTACTTTGTAAAAGTTTTCTTTCTGATCATTGGCAACATTGATTAGAATATTAGGTTTCAAATGGAATTTATAAATAGTTTTCCTGCTGTTACTTATTTTTGACTTTTCAGATTATCTACTTAGTAATAACCATGTCAATTCTATAATGGTGCACAAATTTGATTTCTCCGATGAGGATGTTATGGCCTATTACATATTGTTTCTGAAAACGTTAAGCTTGAAGCTCACCCCCCACACCATACACTTCTTCTATAATGAGGTGAGTTCTCTTAATGTATATTATTAAACCAATGTAATGCTTGTGGTTTTTATTATCAGCACACAAATGACTTTCCACTCTACACGGAAGCTATTAAATTCTTCAATCACCCCGAGTCGATGGTACGCATTGCTGTGCGCACAATTTCTTTAAATGTGTACAAGGTGCAAAATGCAAGCATGCTGCGTTTTATCAGAGACAAGTGAGTCGAAAAGTGTAGACGAAAGATAATTAATTTATAACTATTTGCTTAAATTTATTAGAACGGCAGCGCCCTATTTTAGCAATATAGTTTGGTTTATCGGCAAGCACATATTGGAGTTGGACACCTGCGTGCGGACAGACATAGAGTAAGGAAATTAGGTTATTCATGTTATTTTTTACTCATACTGAATCCTTATTAATGTACAGCCACCAATCGAATCAGAAGCTTTCCAATTTGGTTGCTGAGCATCTCAATCATTTGCACTATTTAAATGACATCCTGCTATTGGATATCAAAGATTTGAATGCAGTGCTCACCGAACACTTGCTGCACAAGTTGTTTGTGCCGTTGTATATATTCTCGCTGACGCCAGCGCCGCCGCCACCCTCATTAGCTGTGGTCACACAGAACTTGGCGGCTGTACTAAATCGCAATGTGGATATTGACATACAGGAGATTCATCATCCGCGCGTTAGCTCTATTGTGGCACTCTATTTGCTGTCGCTGGTCTTTTTGGTTGTCACCCATGAGCCGCTAGTGCATGCTTTGGCCTGGGTCATATTAAATGGCGATCATAGCGTATTCAAAGAAGGAGCAGCCGAAATACTCAATTCCTATGTGGAGCATCGCGAAGTAGTGGTGCCGAGCTTTGGTGAACCACAAGAGAGTCTTGAACAGGCATTGGACACGGTTGTTGGCCACACGGCTAGCTACAGCGGCGATGCAATTAGCGAGGATAGTGGCGTGGAGTCAACGCCAGCAGCGACAGCGTCGCCATCAAGCCGGCACACCGAAACTGTCGCCGAAGCTGCAGCCACCCAGTTACGTAATATTACCGACGAGGAGAAACAGATGCTACAACAGTCGACATCCGCGCAGACCGCCTCTGAGCTTCCGAATCCATTTTTAGAAACCGTGCTGCAAGCACTCGATTGTAAAGAGAATGATTACCTTGCACTCTTGGCGCTTTGCCTCATTTACGCTATGTCCCACAATCGAGGTGAGTTGGACTGTTGCAAAGTCCGTAGAATTAAGTTAGGCTTCAGCTGCTCCGATTCTCAGTTAACTTTGCCTGTTTCACGTCTCTCTCTCCCTCTGCTCATTTCATTGATATTTGTGTGGTATTAAAAAATGATATTTCAAAAAATAAAAATGCGTAAACAACATGGCATCTTTTACCAGATGGTACGTAACTTGTTCATTCCCTCATACTAATGTTTAGATGTTAGCTCGGGAGTTGCATAATATTCCGCTTATTTATTACTCTTTTACCTATTCGCAGGCATGAAGAACGAGTGGTTTGAGCAGGTGCTGTCGAAATCGATGCGAGGCTCGTTCAGCTATAAGACGGCGATAATTGAAAATCTGCTCAATATCATCACACAATCCAGTCAACCGTGTAAGTAAATCCATTCATGTTCTTATTCTATTATTATATTTATTATCACTCTTACAGCTTGTCGCATTCGACTGATCACGGCTGAGATTGCATTGGAACTGCTGCTGACCTTCACCAAGCCCGCCGCAGATGATGCACCTTGCATAACGACCTCGCAACAGAGTTTGCTTTTCAGTGCTCGTAATCAATCCATGGTTGTGCTGCGCAACTTTTACAAATCGGAAGATATATTCCTCGATCTATTCGAGAATGAGTATAATGAGATGCGTAAGGCGCAGCTGAATGTAGAATTTCTCTGCACTTACTCGACCATACTGTTGCCGCCCACGGGTACACCTCTAACGGGCATTGAATTTACCCACCGTCTGCCTTGCGGCGAGGTTGAAAAGGCTCGGCGAGCCATACGCATCTACTTTTTGCTGCGCCGTACGTGCCAAAAGTTCTTAAACGAGAAGGAAACGCTGTTGCCGCTGACGAATGTGGTGAACCTGGTGCAGGTGGACAATGTGCTCGATCTGAGTGAGTCTCTGATCATCAGTTTTGTTAGTCCATTACTTAAACGTACTTACTGCTTGTAGATAATAGTGATTTAATTGCCTGCACTGTGGTCTCTAAGGATAATATGAAACAACGGCGTTTTCTGGTCATTGACGCACTACAGCTCATACTCGTGGAGCCAGATGCCAAGTTGTTGGGCTGGGGCGTGGCCAAATTTGTGGGTTTCTTACAGGATGTTGAAGTGCAGGGCGACAAAGATGACTCACGTTGCCTTCACATCACGGTACATCGTGGCGGTGTCACACATAATCGTTCGCCGCTTCTTTCAGCCAAATTTTTATTCGATGATCATATACGTTGCATGGCAGCCAAGCAACGTCTTACAAAAGGTCGCAGCAAGGCGCGTCAAAAGAAAATGTATCAGATTGCGCAGTTAATCGAAATACCCGGCCAGCTGGACTCGCCACTGTATCCGGTGTGTGGCACTTCAACGCATTGTGGCAATTCCCGCCTGGCCCAAAAGGGCGCAAATTTAACTGCGAGTCGAGTGCCCGGCTTTGCAGCTGTGCTGCGTGGCAATAACAGTGCCGGCGTCAGTCGTACCCAGATGGCACAGAATCGCTCCATAGAGGGGTAAACACAACTGAAATCTTTCATATGTATTAATGTAATATATTGAACCTTTTAGCATACGTAATGAAAGCGGTAGTCGCTCACGTCGCCGAAGTCCCAATGCTAGCTCTAGTTCACCGTCCTCATTGCGGACAGGCAATACAGTTCTGGATAGGGATCGTTCGCCCAGTGGCAGTGGAGGCAGTCACAGCTCCTCACAATCGAGAGAGAACTCACAGGCGCGTGGATCTGGTAATCGGTCGCGTGAGAGTAGCCCACGCATGCCAAGACCACGGTATGTATAATAGCAGTGATTTATGCTTGACTTAGCTAACTTACATGTTGCTCGGCAGATCGGAGGAAATTCCTTTGGAAGATTTTCCACATTCACGTAATAATAGTCCGCATTCACGAGGCGCTATGGGAAATCCATCTCCATCCTCTCGCTCGCATACTCCATCTCGAGCGTTGCACTTTGATCAGATATCGGTGCATAGTGGCTCGCCACGAGAATCGTCGTGTGCATTGGGCACGAACGCGTTGCTGAGCCAATTGAATGGTAGTGTAGCCATTGCTAGAGAAGTGATCCCAGTTCAAAGTTCCGAGGAGACCTCCTTTATAGCCAATGATGTAGAGGCGGACAACAGACGCAAGGGCAGGGGCAACATTGAAACGGTTTAATAACAATAATTTTAATATTGCGATCTGTGCATATTGTGAAAGTTAAATTGTCGCTACTATTTTGTTATTCCAATTAATGTAAATTTAGTATTGATTTAGAAATAAACGTTGATTTGACGAATTTAAAATCTTGGATGGATTTTGAGCAACAGCTGTATTATGTAAAGTTAACAGCTAGCAGTTAAATTCGATATCGATTATTTTTTATTGTCATCGCTAATCAGCTGGCGGTGGTAATGTGGAACAGCCGGGTGACATAACCCCCCAATATATTGTTTAATAATATTTAAATCAAATCGAAACTTGATTTAAAATGACCAACTTTAAATATAGCGAGCTTATTAAGCTTGGCACACAGTATGCACGTCGTATGAATTACCTGTCGAATCGCATCTTTGGAGAGGTGGCGCGCACAACAAATGACAAGTCAATGAAGGTCTTGCATTAAAGCTTTGAAATTTATTATTTTGTGAAGTTCGATAACTAATGAATATTTATTTGCAGGTTGTTCGGATGTTTTCGGAAGAGCCCATACATAAACGGGATTATGTAGTTAACTGGTATCCACGACATGTTGAAACCCATTTACTAATGAAAAATCTGCGGGACTACGGACTATTCCGCGATGAGCACCAAGACTTCAAGGAGGAAATGAAGCGTTTGCGAAAACTGCGCGGCAAAGCGCCTCCAAAGAAGGGCGAGGGCAAACGAGCAACTAAGAAATAGAAAATAGATTCACTAAAAACAATTGCATTTTTTATTATTATTAACTAAACAACCCCTTTGGGTGCCAACAATTTAGCATTGCCCGCAAAGACAACGTCATCGTGTTGTCTACACTCGTACTCCACAGTCGCGATTTTGCGCGCTTTGATCAAACGCACGGTCACTAAGGTATCAGTTTCTATGCGACATGGTTTCAAGAACTTGAAACTTTGCTCAAGCACCACTGTGCCTGGTCCTGGCAATTGTGTTCCTATAATTCCAGCAACAACTGCATTAAGCAGTGCTCCATGAACGCGTCGCTCTGTGATGGGCGTGTCTTTACTATGTATATGATTAGAATCACCGGTGAATTGAGAAAATATTTCAAGATCCTGCTGTGTAAACCGTTTTATCACTTGAACCTGTTTTAGTTTGGCTTGTGGCTGGCTGCACAGCTGTCGACGTAGTTGCAGTAGCATTGTGTACCTGGGTTATTTCGGTTCGGGAGCCAAAATCTTCCAGGAAAACTATGCAAAGCTTAACAACGCGCTCGTCGTTAGATGATTGCCGCCAATGTAAAACTCGCTTTAGTAATGCTGGCGTTACGATTTCCTCTTTGCTGCTCAGTCCTGCGCTCAGCAGTTGATAATGCAGTGCCAGGCTATGCAGCACGGTATCAGCCTTCTCTGTGCTTAGGAAAACGTTTCTGAGTATGGCATTTTTTGCAACTATGAATTTCGCGGCGATCTTGTCTGCGAATTACGAAAGTTTGTTGATAGAAATCCAGCAGAATATCTGACAATAATGTTACCTAAGCAAAAGTTACACAGTGCTGCTACTGCATGCAGCTGAAGATTAGGGTTCTGGGTGTCCAGAGCTGCCACAAAGACATCCAAGGCTTCGGCTTCATGCAGATAAGGCCAGTTTATTGGATCGTAGGCAAAGTTTGCCAAGTTCGCGGTTACTTGCTCCAGGGCCTCTGGTGATTTAACCATATTGTTAATAGTGCTGCCTAAGTTAGCGAGACAAATGCTTACCAACGTTTGTTGATGTGTAATATTCATCCACCAGGTGACCAATATATTCACGTCGATCTATGCCTTCTGCCGGTGTCTTGCGTTTTAAATGACGATGGCTCGAAAACATCGAGAGTTATAAACTACATGTATAATGGAACATTTAAGGATAATAATATACTGTTGATATTTGTTTGTGTACTTAACATTCACAGAAAACCAGAATATATCAGCTGTTTCTTATTAAAGAGCGCGGAAAATGATAACTAAATGTATTTTAAGTGTAATAAAATATATAATATTTACCAATTACTCACGACTTTGCTGACTCGTTTAACATGAATTTAAATGTACCTCTTGTATCATTATATTTAAATAAAAAACTAGTCTGTCAGTAATGTTTCAATTTTAATTATTAATTTTTACATAACAGAATTACTCCACGCATTCAAGCTTGCTCCTCATAAATTTATACATTCTGTCAATATTAGAATAACTTTTGAAAAGTTGATGCAGACATTTTAGAAAACAATAATGTATTATTGATTTACAATAAGATAATTTTGACCATAGCGTATACAAACATCAAATAATTTGTCAGCTAAGCATCAGTGTGTATGTACATCATTTACCACTCCAAATGTATTCATCTACGATTCGCTAAGTGCGATTGCTGCAACCAGCATCTTGATTGGAATTGTTTGAAAAATAGTGTAAGGCTGCTGCGACTGATTTCGGTGGTATATTAAACAGTGGATGGGTGGGTAAAAGTTCGTTCCTAAGGTCACCAAGCACTTGAGGATGCATCGCGGACTCCGAATGCTGTGCAATCGAGACTCCGCTCAGCGTATAACAGGTATGATATAGATCTTGTGGTCTAAAAGGAAAAAATATACTTGTGAGATTTAAATAATAAATGGTGGCTTTGAATGCTAAACTTACTTGCCGGGCTTATCGATTAGACCACCATTTGCTTTCTGACAACACAGCAATATGTATTCTTGCAGTGCTTCGACATCGAAGAGCGTCTTCTCCATGGATTTTTCAGCGCCAATCAGTGTGGCTTGTGTTATTGGAATGGTGGCGCCTACCCAAAACGAGTAGCAACCATCTACTAGTTTATTGGTGCGTCCTTGGAAGCCACCTTCATAGATCATTTGACGACGTAGTGTCCACTGCAGGAGCGCTTTCTTATTGCACTTATCTGCCTGATTGAGCAATGCGAGACTGGCAATGCCACAAAAAGTGTATCCACCATGTGCCTCTAAGTCCGGCGCTCCTCCAAAGCCACCCTCGTAGGTCTGACAGCTAGCAATCCAGTCGGCGGTGCCCGTGAATAGTTCACTCAGCACCGGCTCAGGCACGTTGGTTAGCTTGGCACAGGAGATGGCACAGTAGGCACCTCGCACGTCCGTCTCACCATCCACGTGGAGGCGGAAGGAACCATCGTCATCGCGCACGCTGAATAGAAATTTAACAAGTGATTCTCGATCGATGGCTTGATATGCGCTCTGTGTGCCAATGATACACAAACTATTAACTGCAGCATAGGTGGGAGCCAGGTGCGCATATTGTCCTGGTCCGCCGCCAAATCCGCCCGTAGGGGCTCGACATCTGCAAGCACACGATTGAACGCGTATTATTAATATTCATAATTAGGGTATTATTAACCTACTTTATGAGAAATTGCACGACATTGTCTAGCGTCTGGTCGTCGAAGTCGAAATTCAGCAGTTGCGCCGACTGCAGTATCCAGTAGATACACCAGGGCCGACTGCTGTCCAAGCATTCATAATTGGATGGAAGTTTTCTAAGCATCAAATCCAAATATTGTTGGTGCTGCATGCGATTTAGCTGGGCTGCGCGTGGATTTACGAACTGTGTCTGTACGAATCGATCGTAACATTTTTCAACCAAACTCTCTGTTTTAATCTAAAAAAAAAAAAACAAGATTTTGCTTTATTATTTGTCGGTTGCACAGAAAATTTGGATTACTCACCTGCTCCCTGGATGTTACTGTGGATACCTTCTCGTCGTCATATTGATAGTTTTTAAGCTCTGCAAAGTTGCGGAAAAAGAGCTCGTCCGATGACCACATGGTTTTGGTATCCGAATTGAAAATTAATTTAATATAAATACAAAATTGTGCTACTTTTATCAATTCGTCCAGAATGTGTTTGATCGAACAACCTACCAAAGTGAACTAAGGCGGAACCACTGGTTCGTTTGCGTAAATAAACAACATCATATGTTTCTGCTATATAACAGATTTGCGTACTTTTGCTGTTAACAACAATTCTCTAAACAAAAACAAGCAATATATTCCGAGCCAAGATTGAATTATTGTGTCCTTTAACAGTGATTCCAAACAAATACCATATTTTAGTTCTGTACGTTAATTTTGCAATTATTTGATCAGCTGTTTCTTTACTAAAAATTCTATTATTCAAATTTTATAACAGAGATTTATTAAGTTTGTAATCGATACGAATCAGTTTACAATCAAAAGCGGTTACTTTTCGATATATTCAAGTAGAAGCACTAACCAGAAATGAATGTAGTTTGAACTGAATGAAAGTATTAAATAGAATGAAGCATTCATAATTTATATTTAACGGTCAAAAAGTAAACTCTTCCTAAAGTTTATAAAAATGTTTTTTTTTTTTTTTTTGTTTGTTGCATTGCTCGCTCAATCCTTCAGCATTTTGAATATTAAAGCACAGGCAAATAACGAGGCAGAACGTGAGCGTCTTTCTCCTGAATGATTATCGTATCAACACTTTATTATTATTATTATTATTATCATTATAGATTATTATGTCACTATAGATTCCGCAGAAATGCATGTGTATAACATATTCGTGCAGAGCATCGTCATGCTCTTTGTCGGCATCTTAATGGGTATAGGGTACAGAAAAAAGAAACCAGACGACCTCGGCAAAGTTGTCGCAAAATACATGCATATGAACACAAGTCTTATACTCACGGTATAGGGAGAGGCTAAATTATATGTTTTCCAATGGCTGCCAAAGAGTTTATGAATAAAAAGTGAAATTAAGAGAGTATAAACTAAACTGGCATCATATATTGCATCAACTATGGGGAGAGCAACTGGAGGCAATACAAAAGCAATTGTAAGCTACAAATCTTATAAATAAAATAAACAACAACAAAATCTTAGCACATAAACATGCTCATAAAAGTTTACTTCCAGCCGACAACGATTTCAGGCCAAGAAACAACAAGCCGAGCCACAGTTGCGACCACTTCCAATAAGCAAAAACGAAAGACTTCAATTCAGTTTGGCGAAGACAACGAACTCGAAAAGAGCTTCACGCGGACAAAAAGTAAAGGCCCGATAGCTAAAATCACGTCTACGTCTCTCTCTCTCTATCTCTGTCTCTCTTCTACAAAACGGTACGTGCGCGCATGCGTATGCGTATGCATAGCTCTATATACACAGTATATGAATATGTGTACGTGTATAAGTATTTGTATAAAGCTGGCTAAAAGTTAAATGCAGCAACAGCAACAACAGCAACAACAACAACAACAACAGCAGCAACTTCACCAACGGCACAGCAAAAGAAATAACGAATAATTGAAAAGAAATCAAATGATAAATACAAATTTGTTGTTTTTATTTTAAAAAGTATGTGAGCCACGCAAGCGTTTTGAGAAAGAAATCGTTTAAATGTATGTGTGTATCTGTGTATTTGGTGTTTTAATAAAGTGTTAACTGTGTTTAGCTAAATCAAGCCCAGGCGCTGAAAAGTGAAATGTAAAGGTCATATGAATTAATAAATTTGTCCAAGTGAAAACTAAAGAAAAGTGCGTCGACTCCATTCACCTCACATTCTCTCAATCTTTGCCGGATTATCTGCAGCTAGGCCAACACAATTTCTCTTAGGCTATATCATCGCCATCAAACGGTACAATTTTATACATACATGCATACATACATAAATATCTGTGTGAAAGTTTTTATGCGCCAGACACAATAGCAAAAAGCACAATCTCATTCTCATTTATGCTGTTGTAGTAAGATTTATATTTTTCTTTCACTTCTGCTTCTTCCTCGTATTCTTCGTCTGCTTCGTTTTCCGTTGGCTAACGGGTTTTGTGTAAGACTCTGGCAACACTTTTGCTTTTTATAAGCTGCATATAAAACGGGCTATTTTGCGATTTAGATTCGGTCTTATTTTTTGCGTTGTCTTGGCACACAAACCCGTTCCAAGATATTAACAACAACAACAACAACAAAACAGACAAAAATATTTAAAAGAGACACGGCGACACACACAGACGCCTTTAAAACAAGTTGTTCTATAAATTGAAAGCCTTAATTAACAAAGATCTGTTAACTATGGTTAGATGCTACGGCTAAGCCTGTTATTAAGTGAAATGAACCAAATGAAATCATTTCGAATAAATGGCATTTAATACAACTTTTTCCAATTGACTTTTTCATGTTTGCCACTCAAAATATTTGCACAATTCGAAAGGCCTCAACGCCCACACGCAAGTCAAGCCATAGAGATGAAGAGTTGTCTGAGTAGCTTGTTGCTGTGTGAAGTCGATCGCTCTCTTTCTCTCTCTCTCTCTCTCTCTCTCTCTCTTTTTTCGCTCTCTTTCCTATTGTTTGCTATACTCTCCTCGCAGCGACTGTCAAAATTTTTGCATAAATAGACAAAGTTTGTTTACTGAAATCTTTTATGGAAGCTTAAGAAATCTATAGAAAAACATAGAACAATTTTATTATGTGAACATTATAAAAAATAAACTATATAGTTACAAATTAACTTGATAGTTACATGTGTAAAATTATATATAAAATTATATTTTTCTTAAGACTTTATACTCAGCACTTAATTTGGTCTCTTTTATAGCTCCCACAGCCTGAGAAACCCTTCTTCCACTTTAACTTAAGTTCAGCTTCATTATGCGCCAATTCACCTCATTTCAATGAGTAAAAAAAAATCCCATAATTTAATACCAGTTTCGAATTAAGTTACGCACTGCGTAAAAACCAAGTTTTGTGCCAACTCTTGTGACTCACAGTGCAACAGACTAAATGTACCTCAATATACATCTATTGTATAGAGCCGAAAATCCTTAATGATGTTTCAGATTATCGCACTAAAATGCTGTCAAAGTTATGGGCAAAGTTTACGAATCATACAAAATCTTCGTGACTCACACGTTGTTGGCTGGGCTCTTGAATTTATGCATGTGCATAACGGTAATACGTTGGTAAATAATACGAGACTGGAACTTGACTCAATGAGTTGGCAAAACGAGTGTAAAAAAGTAAAAAAAAAAAAAAAAAATTAAAGCTAAAGAATTTGGAATTGACAGCGCTTGAGTGGATGTTGAGGTGTGCTGCGAGCACTGAGCAGAATTGGCAGATAAAGCTCAAGGCACATTCAACGTAAGGCAGCTAAACTTGAACAGAATTTGTTGAACTAATCTGGAGCGATTGTTCAACTGGGCAGAAAAAATGTACAGACATTTACAAACAGAACAAAGAACACTAATGGATTATTTCTTACACAGCCTTAAAATTGTTTTGAAACGATATTTGAAACATTCTCGAATAATGCTGCGTTAGTAATGAACTACTTTCTGGGTATCCCGTAATCTTTCTCGAACTTTATTCAAACTCTATACAAGGTCGAACCATTCTTCAACTATTCTCCGAGTACGCAGCAATCAGTCTCGAACTATGGTCAAACATAATACATTCTCGAACAAATTTTCAAGTACATATATAGTCCTGATTTATACTTGAACTATTCTCGAACTATTGACTAACCAGATTTGTATAGCACAATTGATTGAACCCACATTGATCGCATCTAGAGCATGTTGCCCTGCCATGCTCACCGTTCTGATCACATTTATTGCTGGCCATTATCGCCGTCATTGTTTGGGCATGTTTTGCGCAATGCCACTTTGAAGTCGCTTATTGTTCCTGTTGTACTCCAGCAGAAACTGGTCTCTGTCTTATGATACAAGTCGGACGTAGTTGCTGCTGCGGCAGCTGCTGTTGCTGTTACTGGCTGTCCGGCTTGGCGTGGCCGGTTTGGCTAGGTGGGTCGGTCCATTCGTCGGTTCGATTGGTTCGATTTCGTTTCCGTTGTTAAATGTAGCAATCAATTTCAACAATTTTCAACAGCCAGCAATAGTTGCAACTACCGAGTTGCTGTTGTTGCTGTTGCTGTTGCTGTTGTGCCGTGGCTACAAGTATCTTATTCATAGATCGTTTTTATTATAAAATATTTGTTGTTGTTTTTGTTTTTAGACTTTCACTTTTTGTATGCATTCGTTTTTGTGTTGGGCTGTAAGCCATTTGATTTGCCTTCTTGGGCATGACATATATACAATAGTATATCTGTATGTATATTTACTCTATGTACTTTGTATGCAGATATATGTATATTGCTGAAATTTGTAAATAAATTTTATGTTGCGAGGTATAATGAATCAGCAGGCATTACCGTTCACTCGAATACTCTGTGCGTTAACGCCCACTGTTCAAGATATATGATAATATGAAAAGTCTTATGTTTTATATATACACACATATAGTATATATGTTTATAAGAGCAGTTTGTGTGGTTTGCCTACCCTGCTTCAAGGCCTGCTTGGAGTTTTTTTTTTTTTGCTGTACTCTTAGCGGAACCGGTCTCTTATCGTGGATCTATAAAAAGTGGTTTTAATTGTGTCTTTTCTTAATCCTTTGCTGCTCGATTTTTCTAGCTGTACATTTTTAGAGAGTATGAGACATGAATGCCTAATGAATTCGATTTTCGACTGAAAATTTCATTTGCTATACTTGGCACGTTTTTGTTTGCGTATTTACCTTTTCTGGGGGTCAACTAGGGTTACTGACGTGAGCTGTTGTTGGGAAAGGCATAGATGTTTGTCCATCTATCCATGTTGCTTAAATGATTCTAGCTGAACATATATGTACATATTAGAGTTCGATTTCTTTCAGTTATACCGTTCCTACTTTTGAGGGAATATTTAATTCTATAAAAATGTTCTGTTAAAAATGTATGCATATTTACATATTATCAATATGCCAGTGAGATAGTAAATTGTGTGTATAAATAGAAAACGAAAAGAAATGTAAAAAGAAAAGTAAAGTACAATAAATATCTAAAAATATATACACGATTATTTCATTTGCACTAATTAGTAAATGGAAAGCCGACTTTAATTACCACGTCACGAAGATAACAATCGAAGAATGTTCAGTATGTCCAGCCAAAGATAACTTTAATATATGAGATTCGAATAGTAGGATTTAGTTTTCGTTGGAATTAATAGCAAAATATATACATACATACCACGATAAGTTGATTCATTCATACATACATATCTACCGAAAAATAAATATACATATCCAAGCACATAAAATAGACCTAATTTAGTCGGTCATTCAAACCATTTGCATTCAATTTGATGTACTTTACGAAAAATGTTTACATTAAATAAATACAAAATAAATATTCAGCTATCTATCAACTACCTGTAAATAAAAAAAAATTATGATTCGACCGTGACAGGACTCGAACCTGCAATCTTCGGATTCGAAGTCCGACGCCTTATCCATTAGGCCACACGGTCTTGTTGCGAGACACTGTTAACTGTGGCCATATAAACGGCAAAAGAGGCGCGCAACGAAACCCATAATCAGTCTAGAGCATCCATAACACAAACAAGGGCTGACACACCCTAGTACCATAGCCTTAGCACTGCGTCGAGGGTGGCTGTGACAACAGGCAGCTGTGACTTCTGTGCTTTTGTTTTGTTTTTTGAGGGTTGCAATCATATGACGCAGCATTGGGGACTACTGCGCAGAATCCCGACTGCCGGCAGCATCCTTTGACCTTTCTGCCAACAGCTAATTGAGCTTTTACTGTGGAAACTGATTCAATTTATGACCCCTTGGATAAATGCTTGGTAATTCCCTTGAGCTCGAGGATATTGTACTATATTTAAGTAGTCTTTGCTTTAAGCTAGTCAATATGAGTTTCGTTAGATCGGCTCAGTTGTGAAATCGACTAACGTTAAATGTGTCCAGAATCAAAATTTTATAGCCGAATAAATATATTTGAATAAGCGACGACTTCACAACAGAAGAGAACCAAACACAATGCTCCGACAAAACAAGACAAATGGACAAAATAAGATCCGCAACATAATGAAGCTCAAGAATCGCGAAGTGTTCTTTAATCTCTCCCCACTGACGCCCGATTCCAAAACAAAGCTGTTAAACAAAGCTTATTCGAATAAAGCGAAAACTGAGGAAGAGATGGTCATAGAAGGCATCAGGGCCAGAATGATGGAATTCTTAAGGGCGAACAAATCGAATAATGAAAGGCCTAATTTGATAGAGCAGCCAAAGATCAGAATGCTACCAACCTTAAAGCAGCCGACGCCCGCTGAGCACAACTCGAACACCTCTTTAAAGACCAAACTTGACCAGGCAACAAAAAGTGGCAAACCTTCCCCAAAACATGTAGCGCAACTATTACCAACTCGCCGAAAAGTGGAAGCCAAGGTTCAACCAAATACATGGAATCCCTATCTTGAGAGTGACGCCAACAGGTTCATCAGCCCGGCTCGAAGACCTCCTCCAGTAGAGGCCAAGCAGGCGCCTCAAGTCAAACTAACTGGCATCGTGCATGCCCAGCCGAGCCTGAGGTCATCTTTCCTATGCTATTTCGATGTGCCCGGCGAGGAGTCGTCCGATAGCTTTTACGACATAGAGAGTTCTAGTCGTCGATTTTAAAGCGTCTACAACATTCGGTTCAATCCGTTTTCAAACTCTGACTTTTTACTGATCGACATTTCGTTCAACTTTTAAAAAATCAAAATTCGATATGTGATTTTATTGAAAATAAAAAAGAACACTTTAATGCATTGGAGTTTCTATTTGAAAGACGAAATAAACAGCCTCTATCAGTGCTCTCATCTAGCTATCTATGGTAATTCCATCATCATAATAGAAATCCGATGCGCTGTTGCTCAAATGTGGCACAAGGTCTGCGCTACGGAACAATGCGATCAAAATTTTGCACACTATGTCTGTACTCTATATATACAGGTGTGTATGTGTGTGTGTGTGTGTGTGTAAGTATTTGTATGTGCAACATATGTGATTGTTATTGCCATAAAATCAAAGAGGGCTACAGCTTTAGTTCCGTGCCAAATATGAAATAAGTGAGGCATGGCTAATATGTAGTATAATACATATGTATGTATGCATGTATATCTCTGCCCCGCCTTTATGTTGGACCCTTAATTACCTTGTCTGTACAGCAAAAACAGATAAATAATACTCGATTTATATCCGGCATTTTTTTTCCTATTTACTGAGTCCGTTTCTACTTTTACTTCTGCTTAGCGATTCGCAACTGGTTAAAGCCTGGAAATGTGAGAACTTGCTTGCGAAATGCGTGTTGTAAACGGAATGTGCTATTTATAGAACTGTGAAATTCTTGAAATACCTTTTATGATAGACTACTGCATAATACATATATTTTGTAGGTTCTTCTTTTCTATATACATATATTTGATAAAATAAATTTGAAAACTGTGCGCTACGACCTTAAAATGCATTTTAAAATTATGTTTAATGATCTCTGCAAGTGGGGTCTGAAGCCCACCCTATATGGTCATTCGGTCATTCACCAGCCGTACATTGTGCATTGAAAATCTTCATTAGCTGATTACTTTTTCATAAATCACTAAAGCTGAACAGTGAATATGCTGGCCAGAAACCGGTTGCCTGCTTAAATGGAAAATGTTGCTGGTCAAGGGCCGCAGGTCCTTGAATGTCTGCTTTAACAGAGAGCATACCGAGAGCCATAAATTGAAGCTGGCTTATCTACTACGACTGGAACTCAATTAATTTTTTCAACTCTTGCGCCACTTTAGCTACATTTTGACTACAAGATTCAGCAGAGCCAACGATTGGGGCTCGGGCAATAACCGTGGGAGATGTCTGCGGTGCGGCATCGCCCGATGGCTCCGCCAGCCACCGGAGATCAGGGCGACAGCGATGAGAACAACTTCACCGACGACGAGAGTTCGCCTCTGACACACGATATATATGGCGGCAGGTAAGTCGTATTCGCGTTTCCCCTATGAATTGTGATATGCAAATTGTTGGCTGAGGTTTTCTCTTGGAAAATATTATGGGTTTCGCTTAAGCAAACCGGAACAACCAAATTAGCTCCATAGCAAACAAAGCTTAATTGCCATTCCCACATCCATAGCAGCTCGCCTTTGTTCAGATATTGCTCTACAAATCACTTTCAGTGCCGCTGTTGTGGCTACTTCAATGTCAATCTCTCTTAGAAAGCAATCCGGAACCTAGGAGCAAGCAATGAGCTTGAGCTGGGAGTAGCCTATAATAGGCTAGTCCCAACTGAGCTTCCCTTTAAGACTATGACTAACTATATCCATTCCATCCCACTTTCAGCCAACGCACAATACAGGAAACAAAAGGCTGGGATGTGTTCCGCGATCCGCCAATTAAAATTGAAACCGGTTCGACAGCAAATCAGGAGTGTCTTGAGCTAACCATCAAGATACTGAAAATCTTTGCCTATATAATCACGTTTATCATAGTTTTAACCGGCGGTGTTATAGCCAAAGGAACAGTCCTGTTTATGACCTCGCAGGTGCGCAAGGATCGCAAAATCGAGTACTGCAACAAGGATTTGGTAAGTCGTAAGAAGATATCCCAAAGAAGTTCCGTTTTCAACTCTATCTCCCCATAGGGTCGCGACAAGAGTTTCGTTGTGCGTCTGCCCGAGGAGGAGCGTATCGCATGGATATGGGCTCTGGTGATTGCGTACTCCCTGCCCGAGATCGGGGCTTTGATACGAGCGGCGCGAATCTGCTTCTTCAAGACGTTTAAGGTGCCGAAGACGGGGCATTTCCTGTTCGTCTGGCTGATGGAGAGCATGAGTGCTCTAGGCACTGCGCTGCTGATGTTCGTCGTCCTGCCACAGATCGATGCCATTCAAGGCGCTATGCTGACCAATTGCCTGTGCGTAATACCTGGCATTTTGGGTCTGTTGTCGCGCACTTCCAAGGAGGGCAAACGCTTCATCAAAGTCATCATCGATCTGGCTGCCGTTGCTGCCCAGGTCACGGGCCTCGTCATCTGGCCACTGCTGGAGAATCGACGCGAGCTGTGGGTCATTCCGGTGGCCTGCATCATGATCTCCTGCGGCTGGTGGGAGAACTATGTGTCGGCTCAATCGCCACTGGGCATTGTGAGAGCTCTGGGCCGCATCAAGGAGGAGATGCACACTACTCGCTACTTCTGTCACATGTTCCTCTCGATATGGAAGATTCTGCTCTTCTTTTGCGTCACTCTGCTCATTTATTGGGCCAACGGGGATGAGCCCAGCAATCTATTTGCTCTGTATGGCGATGCCTTTGGACCCCATAAGATCGTCGTGTATGAGCTGCCCGCTGGACTGGGCGGAGTGCTGCCTGATACCTTGGAGTCGGCCAACATAGATACCGTCGATGTGGATGCTGCCTATAATACTGTCGTCTACGTGCTGCTCCTGCAGATCTTTGGCGCTTATTTGTGCTACATCTTTGGCAAGTTCGCGTGCAAGATCCTCATACAGGGCTTCAGCTATGCCTTCCCTGTGAGCCTTACGGTGCCGATTACCGTTTCGTTCCTGATCGCTGCTTGTGGAATCCGTATTGATGATCCGTGCTTCTTCCACGATACCATCCCGGACTATCTGTTCTTTACGAGTCCGTCCAACTTTAGGTTCAATAACTTTGTCACCGAGCAAATGGCATGGGCTTGGATATTGTGGCTACTCAGCCAGACGTGGATTGCGCTGCACATTTGGACGCCCAAGTGCGAGAGATTGGCGACAACGGAGAAACTCTTCGTAAGACCCATGTACTCAGCTTTGCTGATCGATCAGTCGATGGCCCTGAATAGAAGACGCGATGATCAAGCGGATGTCAAAACTGAGGTAGGCTCTACTCCAATTAAAGTACAATATGATATAACTTGCCTTTCGGTTTTCTCTTAGGATCTGTCGGAGATTGAAAAGGAAAAGGGCGATGAGTACTATGAGACTATCTCAGTGCACACCGATCGCTCATCGGCGCCAAACAAGCCATCGATTAAGTCCTCAGATAACATCACTCGCATCTATACGTGCGCCACAATGTGGCATGAGACGAAAGACGAAATGATTGAGTTCTTGAAGAGCATTATGCGAATGGACGAGGATCAGTGCGCTCGACGAGTTGCTCAAAAGTATTTGCGTGTACTCGATCCAGACTATTATGAGTTTGAGAGTAAGTAAAGTACCTCTTTAAATTAAATTGGGTCCCTTAAGAACTTTCTTTCATGGCTCTTCCAGCTCACATATTCTTCGATGATGCCTTTGAGATTTCGGATCACAGTGACGATGATATTCAGTGCAACCGCTTCGTCAAGCTATTGATTGGTACAATGGATGAGGCTGCCTCTGAGATACATCAAACAACTATTCGACTGCGTCCGCCCAAGAAATACCCAACGCCCTATGGCGGCCGATTGGTCTGGACGTTGCCGGGCAAAACAAAGTTCATAGCTCATCTGAAGGACAAGGATCGCATTCGTCATCGCAAGCGTTGGTCCCAGGTCATGTACATGTACTATCTGCTCGGCCATCGACTCATGGAGCTGCCCATCTCGGTGGATCGCAAGGATGCCATTGCTGAGAATACGTATTTGCTCACACTGGACGGCGATATCGACTTTAAGCCGAATGCTGTCACGCTGCTGGTCGATCTGATGAAGAAGAATCGCAATTTGGGCGCTGCTTGCGGACGCATTCATCCGGTGGGCTCTGGACCCATGGTGTGGTATCAGCTCTTCGAATACGCCATTGGTCATTGGCTGCAGAAGGCAACGGAGCACATGATTGGCTGTGTGCTCTGTTCACCCGGCTGCTTCTCGCTGTTCCGCGGCAAGGCCCTGATGGACGACAATGTGATGAAGAAGTATACAACGAAACCAACGGAGGCGCGTCACTATGTGCAGTACGATCAGGGCGAGGATCGCTGGCTGTGCACTTTGCTGCTGCAGCGTGGCTATCGCGTGGAGTACTCAGCTGCCTCGGATGCCTACACGCATTGCCCGGAGGGCTTCAATGAGTTCTACAACCAGCGACGTCGCTGGGTGCCCTCGACCATAGCAAACATCATGGATCTGCTCGGCGATGCGAAGCGCACGATCAAGATTAACGACAATATATCATTGCTGTATGTCTTCTACCAGATGATGTTGATGGGTGGCACCATCTTGGGACCTGGCACCATCTTCCTTATGTTGGTGGGTGCCTTTGTCGCCGCCTTTCGTATCGACAACTGGACCTCGTTCCACTACAACATTGTGCCCATTCTGGCCTTCATGGTTATCTGCTTCACCTGCAAGGCCAATATACAACTGTTTGTGGCCCAGGTGCTGTCCACCTGTTACGCTTTGATCATGATGGCTGTGATTGTGGGTACGGCTCTGCAGTTGGGTGAGGACGGTATAGGCTCGCCCTCGGCCATCTTTTTGATATCCATGGTGGGGTCATTCTTCATAGCCGCATGTTTGCATCCGCAAGAGTTTTGGTGCATTACATGCGGCTTAATATATCTGCTATCCATACCATCTATGTACCTGCTGCTGATTCTGTACTCTATCATCAATCTGAACGTTGTCTCCTGGGGCACCCGTGAGGTGGTCGCTAAAAAGACCAAGAAGGAGCTGGAAGCGGAAAAGAAGGCCGCCGAAGAAGCCAAAAAGCGAGTGAAGCAGAAGAGCATGCTGGGCTTCCTCCAGAGTGGCATTGGCGACAATGACGATGAGGAGGGCTCCATTGAGTTCTCTCTGGCTGGTCTGTTCCGTTGCGTGTTTTGCACTCACGGCAAGACTTCCGACGAGAAGCAGCAGCTAACGAGCATAGCCGAATCTCTGGATACAATCAAGAACCGTATTGACAGCATTGAGAGCGCTGTGGATCCGCATGGCCATCACGCTTCACGCCACAATAGACGACGCACCACGTCCAGTGGTTCGAAGGACCATCATTTGCTGACATCGGTGGCTGAGAAATCGGGCGATGAGTCGGATGAATCGGACTCGGATACATCGGCAGAGCCCAAGCAGGAACGAGACTTTCTGACGAATCCCTATTGGATCGAGGATCCGGATGTGCGTAAGGGTGAGGTAGACTTCTTGTCAAGTTCGGAGATCCAGTTCTGGAAGGATCTGATTGATCAGTACTTATATCCCATTGACAATGATCCCGTCGAGCAGGTAAGCCAAGCATTATATTTAGTTAGTTTTACCACCTAGGAGCAGATCGTGAATGTCTTATGCTACCCGCAACACCTGCCGATAAAATAATTTTAGGCCCGTATAGCTAAAGATCTGAAAGAGCTCCGCGACTCATCGGTATTTGCGTTCTTCATGATCAATGCCCTCTTCGTGTTGATCGTGTTCCTGCTGCAATTGAACAAGGACAACATTCACGTCAAGTGGCCCTTTGGTGTGCGCACCAATATTACCTATGACGAATCCACTCAGGAGGTAATTGAGTCCCTTACAAGCATTACTAACAGTTTTTTTTTTTTTGGTTTTTTTTCTCTTTCTCTATATATATATCGGTTGTGTAACTGTGTGTGATCACAGGCCCGCATTGCCGCCGATCTGATTGAACTGCGGAATAAGTCGGTCTTTGCGTTTTTTATGGCCAACGCATTATTTGTATTGATTGTCTTCTTATTGCAACTGAATAAGGATAAATTGCATATTATATGGCCGTTGGGCGTCAAAACCAACATTACGTATATCGAAGAGACATCTGAGGTTTTTAAATTCAATAACAATCAAACTTTTGTTTAACACTGTTTTGTTTGTGTAACTTATCTAAAACGAATTACCTATTCGGGACCTTTAACTTCCTTCGGCTCGCTCGTTCTCCTCCTCTCTTTCTCTCTCTCACACACACTATATACGTTTTAATGTGCTCCTCACACATATATATATGCATACTTACCCAATGAATGTTTCTAATGTTATATGTATATGAATGATCCTATTATACTATGTGTTTACAAGGCATTCCTGTGTTTACTTCCTGTTTATTTGTTTGACAAAAAACCCATCCTAATGGTTCTGGTACATCACCACCAACAACAACAGCAACAACAACTACAACAATACTATATCATATCAACGCTCAAGATTCTAATGTGCCATAAACTTTAAAAAACAAAAAAAAAAAAACAATTACAATAATATATTAGCCTCAATGTATAGACATTAATATACATGCTGGCATATAGATATGCGTCCAGCTATATCTATCACACACATATCTATGGTATCACACATTAAACATAGCCCTATCACCGACAATTTGGTACTACAGTCTGCCATTTCTCCAATCGAAGAATCGTTCAATCAATTCATTGTTCAATGTTACTAACAAATCACCTCATATCGCTATAGAGTTTTGTACTAATACATCTTACATCTTTCCCTATTTAGGTGCACATTTCCAAGGAGTATCTGCAGCTGGAGCCGATTGGTCTTGTCTTTGTGTTCTTCTTTGCACTGATTTTGGTAATACAATTTACGGCCATGTTGTTCCATCGTTTTGGCACTCTATCTCATATCCTGGCCTCCACGGAATTGAATTTCTGCAAAAAGAAATCTGAGGATCTAACGCAAGATCAGCTTATAGATAAGGTATATATATAAATATTTGTATCTATACATACATTTAATTTTTCACCTATATTCTCATACTTTAGCACGCTGTGGAAATTGTCAAGAATCTGCAACGTTTGCAAGGCATTGATGGGGACTACGACAATGATTCCGGCTCGGGACCCGATCGCATAGCCCGACGTAAGACCATTCAAAATTTGGAGAAAGCTCGACAGCCTCGTCGTCAAATTGGCACCTTGGATGTGGCGTTCAAGAAACGTTTCCTTAAGCTAACCGCCGATGCTGAGAATAATCCAGCCACGCCCATTCTGACGAGACGCCTCACTATGAGAGCGGAGACAATACGCGCCTTGGAGGTGCGAAAGAATTCCGTGATGGCAGAACGACGGAAATCCGCAATGCAAACGCTGGGCGCCAAAAACGAATACGGAATAACCACAGTGCCTGCAGTAAGTATAAAACGGATTCGCTAATATCCTTTGCAACTATAAGGAGATTGCTTTCGCACAGGTCAACAACAATGGGGTCCTGCCCAATCCGCGCAGCGGACGCGTGTCTAATGCGGGCATCAGCATCAAGGATGTGTTCAATGTGAATGGGGGACCAGCAGAGGTGAGTTGCTGAATGCTCTTAAGAGTATATTCTTCCCTTAATTCATATTAATGAATTTGTTTTCTTAAATTAAGCTGATTATTGGTGAAGATATTTCTGTACTTAAGAACTTTACATTTCATGAATGAGTGTTTTGCATTCGGTCATGTCCGACTATATTGTCCTCATACAAACTATATGCCATCTACATTCTTTGCAGCAAATTTATGGCTCGAATGGCGGGGGAACTATAAATCAGGGCTACGAGCATGTCCTCGACGAGGATGGCGATGGCAACTCCCTGCGGCTGACCACTCGTAATCCCCATCAGGTGTCATGGGGCCAAAATGTAAATGGAAATAATACGGGACGTTTGTGAACTACATATCAGACGAATATGGAATTCATTTAGAATATTAGTGTTTAATTTAGCAATCCTATGAACAAATGACGCGACTTTTCTGAATCTCACGCATCGAATTGGAGTTTATAGTCAGAGGACGTATTTTGTTTACCTGTATATCTCTAAATATGTAGGTATGTTTGTATTTGTATGTATGTATGAATGTATATTGAAAGGACATGGCTGGAGCCTTGTTTTATACACAACGAATATTATGCTAAGCTAATCACACTGCCAGTTGTACTTATCGAATCGTGAATCGCATGCGTATGCACAATTCACAGTCTTCATATATGGTATACTATATCATTTGTTAGGTTAGGTTTAAGAAATTGTGATGATGGCGTCCTAAACAAAAGTTGGGTTTGTCTACTTAAACACACAATACCAGTGAATGCTGACAGATAATACTCATTGTAAAGCTGGATTGGAAAACCTATTTATAATATATACATGAATCTTGCTATATATACCTAGTAGTTATTAAAATAAAATCAATTATTGTCAAATATATACGAATACATGAAATGATATAATGGCTTGTTTTGTGGCTGGCTTCTAGCCATAGTTTATTATTGATTAATTGTTCTATTTGGTACCTTGGAAGCTGCCATGAGCTATATATGTATATGGATGTGAGATAACATTTAGAAAGGACTATAAGTTATTATATATGAACACTGTCTACAAATATGTCCAAACAGTAAGTGCATAAATATATATATTTAGATTTGGTTCATTGTGGCCAGATTAGTGGAAGAGCATATTGCCCTTTTTAGCTGCAATGGGTAGACGATCATCCGGGCCAACCTGCAGGAAGGGATTGGGCATGGCATCCATGCGTAGCCCGGCCAAATGGCCAGCCTTCTTGACCACGCCATTGGCGCTCTCCAATCCATTTTCATTGCCAAACTGATGCATCAGGAATTTCTCCACAGCCGAGTTCATATCGCTATTGCCGGGTCCGGCACCTGCGGCGTTATCCTGATCAGCGCAGTCGAACATGTGCTCGCTGTCGCAAGTGCAGTCCTGTGCAGCCTGGAATTCGCGACTGTAGATGGCGGTATTCTCAAAGTCGCTGATGCAATTGCCGCCCTGCTGCTCAATGTCGTAGCCCTCGGGACAGGGATTGGGTGGATTACAGTAGGCTGGCAGACTGGCATCGGTCTTTACAATCGTATTGTACCTATTGGGCATCTCGCTCATGCCACCGGACACGTACTGATGTCCCCAGAGCGAGCTGTGCTGCAGGAACTCTTGATCGCGCAGCGACGGATTGGTATTGGCCGACTGCAGCAGGCAATCGCTGCCGCCATTGCAAAGTCTGGCGTATTCGGAGCGCGACACCAGATCCACATTATCTTTGCCTACACCAGCTCCAGCAGCAGGCGCCACCCCCAAGTCGCCTTCATTATCCACATCGTAGTAACCCACCTGCATGTCATTATCCATGCGATTCAACAGCTCGGTCAACAAGACATCAGCAAAGATGCTGTCCTTGGAGTCAAAGGCTTGCACCTGGGCTCTGCCCATTAGCAAAACGAGGCAGCCAATCAGCATGCCAATAGCTGTAATTAATTCAGACACATGTAAATATATATTTTCGTCAAGACGTATATTTTCATCGCATACCTTTCGGCTGGGCCACCATATTGCGCATTTGTCGATCTGTTATCTTTGCTTACGTATGAGTTGGATAGACTTATTGATTTTTCGGTTGCACCAGCTGTATTTATTTCGTATAAACCTCAATTGCGCTGTTGTTGCCCTTTGATGTGCTGACAACCAGTTGAATACACGGAATACCCGCACAGTGCTTTTCTATTCCCACATATATAGGGTAGTTTGGGAGAATGGAAAGTTGTGTGTCAGGCGCATGCGCAAGTTTTGGTTATTCAAAGCTCTTGCATTAAGATAATGTTAGCAAAAGCTTCTGTTAATGTCTTTTTGCATTGCAAGTACATTAAATGGTAATTTAACTTATATTTAATGTTAGTTACTAAAATTATATTTATAATACAAATTAACTAGTTTCGTCTTGAAATTCTCCGCACAGCAGATCAAGCTCATCCTGCATTTGCTGCAAAGTTCTTTTATGTGTATATGTATTTGAATGTGTTACGAGATTCTGGCGTGTTCTGAAGTCCATGTTGCATGGCTCGCATCTGCAAGGAGACGAGTGTATTGTAATCGAGTATAATTAGATGGTATAACAGCCTTACCTAAATGTTCGTAAATCGTGACTTGTAGAATGTGCACGAAATTCGAGCAAACTTGTGAAGGCTTCGCCACATTCTAAACAGGGATACGGTCTTTCATTGATGTGCTCTCTGATAAAGGTTAAACAATGAATTAATAAGAACGGAAAGAGAGTTGGTAATCACTTACTTCTCATGCCGCTGCTTGGCACTGTGTTGCATGAAAGTTTCGCCACACGTTGAACATTTGAAAAGCCGATCGCCGGTATGCATTTCTTGACGATGGGCTTTCAAGGCGATTTTAGTATTGAATGTAGAAGAACATTTGCAGCATGGAAAAAAACGTTTAGCTTCCTTCTGTTTCATATGTCCCTTGATATGCAAATTAAAGTCGCTCTCCGTATTGAAAAACTCTCCACATTCCTCACATATAAAAAAGTTTCTCACTCGTTTAGTAGAACGACTGTCTTCTAGGAGTACCCAATGCTGTTTCTCTTTACTCGACTGTTCCTCACTCATTTCCACTTCTGCATTTTCAGTTTCCTCTTCGCCACTTATGTCTTCGGCAACATAATCACTAATATCTTCTAAAACTTGCACGTCCTCATCAAGGTACTCCAACTGCTCCTCATCGATCAAATCTTCATGTAGCTCAGGCTCAGCCGGTTTTGCTACAAATTCGTTGCTGCGCCGCTTTGCATGCATTTCTTTGAGATACTTTTGTGTGAAGATGCAGCGTTCCCGAAACTTAATGGCCAAGTCCAATTCATTGCTGCAGCGAACGCAAATATATTTTGGCAAGCCCTCATTGGGTGATAGCTATAACAAACATTTATCTTTATTGTGGAGCACATACCAACAAATAAAAGTTAACTCACCTCGACTCCGGTAATGAGCTTCAGATTGTGGAGTAATTTGCCTCGCATATAGTTGAACAAGTGCTGCTGACGCTTCTTGTCCTTTATTTTATTGGCGCAAACACGGCAAACGTCGTGTAAGTTATCCATTTTGGCAATAAAGCCCAAATTGTTTATCTTTCCGTTTAGTGATTTAGTGTGTTTAAGGGCTGGTACTATGTTAACTTAACAGTTTGATAATATGGTAATTGCAGTGACTACATATATTTCCAGGAAATACTGCCGTTACTTCTGTTAAATTTTGCGAAAATTCAAATTTTTTATTAAATTTTCAAAGAAGTACGTTTCAAGCTAGTTTGTATATATAGTATATATAGTTTAAAAAAAAAAAGAAGGTGTGTGTATGCCTTCGAAAGATAAAATATATCTTACCAGTAGAATACACAATACAGATGTTTTTGACTAGGGATGGACACAAAATGATATCACTAACAAGAGAATCTGGTTAGTGATGATATATTATCGCGCACTAAAATTCAGCTTATCGATAAGCATTCATGAATTGATAAATTCACAAAAATACACCAAAACAACAACAAAGAAAGATTTTACGCGGGACTTCTGTTATTGTTGCTGACAAAATAATTATTAACTCCAGTTATGTCCAGCGAAGGGATTTTAAGCTCTAAATGGACGCGTCCAGACGATGTATTAAAGCTGCTTGAAACACAAAAATATAGCTATTTAAATATATATAATTATTTTTCAGTTTATAAAGCTGCAAAGGCTAAAACAAAAAAAGAAACAACTTGCGGCACGCGTGAACAGTAACAATAATAACAAGCGCCCAGAATTGGATGATAATGATAAAAGCAAATTACTGGAAGCCAAAATAGCACAAAAGCGCAATAACCCATTTGCCAAGTACGTATTATTTTTTAATCAGCTGTTCGACATCTAATGCAGTGGTCTCTACAGATCCACAGATGGCGCCAAGAAGCAGAAGGTCGATGACCAACCGTACGATGCAACTGCATGCGAAGCTAGGAACACAGCAACTAGTAAATTATCATGCTTGACATCCACACGTCCGCCAGCACCAAAGTTAAATTTACAGAAATTCGATGCTCAGGCATTTGCTAAACTACTGCATCAAGCCAAGGCCACACAAGCCGATGAGGAAGATGATGCCGCATTGGCAGCGCGGCAAAAGCATACACCACATCTGCCAATGGATTGGTGCCTTAAGACGCGAGTGCGCTTCTTCTGTCCAACTGAGCTTCCCTCCACGCAACTTAAGACCTCACAGCTGGCCAGCGGGCTGACCAGCTTTGTGCGTTGCTTCGACACCAACCAGACGGAAAGTACGCTAGATATATCGGATGCAACACGACTCAATCAATGCACTTACTATTGGCAACATCCCCATCTGCCTTGGCTTACGCTCTATCCACGCAGTGCTAAGGAGAATAATGGCATTACAATTGGCGAACGTGAGCGTAAGGCACTGGCCGAAGAGTGGGACTATAGCTTCAGAGGACTCTTTCAGTTGCTTCGTGCACGTCAGTGCCCGTACTTCTATTTGTGTGCCAATTCCTTTACGGTGCTATTTCGAGCAGCTGGCACGGGTGGGCGACCAGAAACACATGCCTTGGTTACACCATCTACTCGTGGCATGCGTAGCGCACTTCAGCAGGAGGGGATTGAGTACAGCATGCCACTGAAGCAGCAACAAGACGCTGGAGAGGGAGGAGCATCGAATGGCAGCTTTACAGAAGAGACCGAGGCAAACACTAGCGATAGTGGAACGGGTCTAGCCAATGGCCAGGCAAAAGATATTGATCACATATCCGATGAAGATGACGATGATGATGCTTGGCTGGAAAGTTTGGGCGTGGATGAGCGCGAATTACGTCGCATACAAACGACGCACGCAAGGAAATTGCAGGCAGCTGAAATGTCGGAAGATTTTAGTGACAATTCTTTGTTGTTGATCGAAGGTGTTGAGTGTCAAGGTTTCTTCAGTTATCTACTTAATGCGAAAAGTACAATCACCAGCGTTGGTCGCCTGGCGGGAGTTCCACCCACGCTTTTGGCTCCCGTTGCATTTCCCAAAGCTACGATGCAGCACTTGGTGCCACGTTCCAAGAAAGTAAGACTAGATGGCATCGATTACTACAGCATTGATATTAAGGGGCTGCTGTTGCCTACATTCCTGCCAAGCGTTGCGATGCTGCTGTGCGAGACGCGGCACACATTTAGTGCAACGTTGGCCAGCAGTATTAACACACTTTCCTTCACCAAGGCCACGCAGAAGCTGCTCGAGACTACCACTCCTGCCAAATCGAAGGAGGATGTGGAGAACGATGGTGGATGTTTGCAGGTTTTCGGAGAGCAAAATCTGTCCGACTGTGGTCTACTACCCGCTGTAGTGGGCGCAATTTGTCGGACAGGTCAAAATGCTGTTGGGTTGCTGGAGCGTGTCTGCTATCAAAAAGGAGAGGGATATGCTTGGAGCTAACCTTAGTACCTTTGTCTGAAAATAATACACAACTATTTTATAGGCAGCTATTACTAATTAATCTATATTTTCGAAAAATAAAATTTTGAAAGTATATTCCAATTTTTTACGTCTAACCACGCTAGTTATCTACCATGATGAGTTCATCTATACTCCAGTCCTCGTATGAATGATCTGGTAAAAACCGCCTTATTATAATTGGAATTTTCTTCTGCTTTAATTCTTTCATGGCAATTTGTAAAGGATCTGTTTCGCCATCCAACTCAACCATAATGGGTGCACACATTGCAATCTGCAGGGCCCGTGTGCCTAAGACACGCGCACGCTCATATTTCGTCATATACTTTGTGGTGATGCGTTTGGATTTGGGTACACCACCACCAGCTGCGCCACCGGGCGCAATGATCTCTATATTGTCAACTTCCTCCTCTTGGGCGATATCCTCGTCTACATCCTCATCGACATCATCGAAGTCATCCCCGCCGACGCTGCAAATTAGTTGGCGTAGATAGATAATTTAAGGCAACCAATTCAGATTTCGAAGATTCAATACGCACTCATCGTTGTCATATTCTCCATCATCCATTTTTCCTTTAGTTTTGATAAGATTTTTAAAATATTAAATTTATGGACCAAACACGCTGCCAGCGCTCTGGTTATTTTCTGAATGTTTCGATTGTATTGGTTATTCGATAACATACCGATCAATTTCGTTTGTGCAGCACTGCATATTTTGGTATTTTCATTTCTGGTATTTAATTTGATTTTTTCTTTTTTCAAAATCAATGGAGAACGGTGAATCTATCTATAGCTTGGATATCGAGAACATCTTCTATTTTCAGGGCTCCAATCATATTCGCTAAGTGGGGGATATCTTTTCCGTTGTACTGGCATAAATTGAGGGTGTGGCTGACGCCAATTTTGAGTTGGCGGGCGACTTGGATATTGATGATGTCCAGGTTCATAATCGTAATCGACGCATGTACGAATACTAACATTTCTTCGACGGCCTGGGCAGCCAGTTTGGCCAATATTATCGCGATCGTATCTGTTTAAATCAAAGTTGGCCAGCGGTACTACTTCAGGCATTGATTGGCGATTACGATCATAATTATAATATGGATCAATGGGCTCGTCAATAGATGCGTTTACGCATTGCATCGCAGGTTCAAAATGACCAGGTGGATTTGGATAAGGTAGCGCGGGACCAGGCTGAGTTAATCGACAATTTGATCTCCTTGGTTCAATGATCCGCTGTCGTGGCACACATATCTCTTGTGTTTCTGGCATTGGTTGCCGTACTGGAAAACAATGATATGATACTGAAGGCTCGTCTGGCGGACAACAACAGGATTCGGATGGGCTGACAGATGGTGTAGGTCTACAAGTACGCCGAAGTATTGGTTCTGGTTGGAGTTGCGAGCTACTACAATCACAATCATTAATCATAGTACGCCTTTGACGGCTAGACGCTGGTCGAAGTTTGGCGATTGGTGGCGTGCGAACGACAAAACAGTGCCGGCTGCGTCGTCTGCACGAGCTTCTGCAACTCCCTTCCAAAACTTGAGTGGGCGATTGACATCTTTGCCGACGGGGACAATCCACAAACTCCCGTCGTGTCGCGCCGCAACCGTAGTCTGCGTGATTGCCTAAATGAACAAATTATATCGATAGCGTGTAAAAATATCGATTTACTTACCCATCAGCAATCACATTTGATTCAGGGCCCCTATTTCAAATTGAGATCGGTAATTTTGTTTAAATTTGCACTTTGAATTGATGCGATTAGTATCTTACTCGAATAGAAGACTATAAAATTATACTGTGGAAAGCGTAAATTAAAATTTGAATTCAGTTAATTAATTTCACTTGCCTATCAGCAATCAATTTGTTCAAGTTGGATGGCTGGAAAACGGAAAATTTTGATAACTTTCAATGTCAAAATTTAGAAGCTGCCCCCATTTAGTTGCTTTTGTTTAATTTATTCTTTCCATTTTTAACGCCTGCTATGATGTTCTATGTTTCTTTCTGTTTTTGATTTTCCTATTCTGTTCAATATCTGGCCGCTTCAATTATTGTATGCTGCATTTACGGTTCCTGGAAACCTTTGGTGGAGGGTCGCAGCGGTAATAAGTATTTTCAGGCAGTCGGGCAACAGGAGTCGGGTTGCAGGGAATTCTTATGACCTCTGGCTGCGGCAGGCACGGAGGACAAGGCTGTGGCGGAAGTTCTGGTGGATTGCAAACGCACTGTTGCCTGGGCACATTCGCTGCGGGCGATTCCGATCCAGATTTTCCAGTTGTTACTGCAGCCTTGGACATTCTGATTTTAGAGATTCGTAATGGGAGGAGAACAGCTTCAATTTTTGATTTTCGTGTAATTTAATTTTTTTTTTTTTCCAAATTGTTACATTTGGAACTAAGACTAGTTCTCCAAACGAACTGAATTTTCAAATGAAGATTTGGAATAACTCAAAATGATGTAATCCTTAAAAGCCAACTTTGATCAACTTCAACTTCAATAGTTTGACAATTCTGAAAATATGAATTGCCCGGAAGTTTATTGAATACTGCAACGCTTCTTGCGCTTTCCCTTGCAATGATCGCACAGTCGCTGGTTTGGTGGCGTGCTGTAGGTAGGTGGCACGTTTCCAGTCCTTACGGCACACTGTTGGGCTTGGTTTGCGCCGCATGGTTGGAGCGGAGGTGGCACGCGTGTCAAGCTTGGCGAGCAACAACAGCCCTGATTTGTGACCTTCGGCTTTGTGTTGCAGGTTGTATTGGGAACATTGCAGGACATCGTTGCCTCTTTCTTGGTCCGGAAGGTGGCGTAATGGTTTAACTAATATAAAGAGATAGACTAAATGCCACGTATTCGGATTAACAATTAAAAATTTTGTTGCTTTTTATAGAATTTTAACTGAATTGTAAATTGTTTCCAAATAATGAGTTTGAAGCATTTTTGTATGGCTCATGTGCCCGACTGGACCCGGTCAGCCTACTATGTTGTGCCCAATCGTTTTCTATTTTATTGTATGACGCACTTCTTCTTTTTTGCCTGCGATTGACAATGGCTGCATGACTGACGCTTTGTCTTTGTTTCATCCCTCATATATGGCTGAACCAAATCGCGCTCACCAGGTCCAGTACATGGGTTCGGTTGGCGCTTAACGTTAGTTGGTGTGCCACAGCTAATGTATGCATGCGTTGGCGGGGCCGTATTTTGTGCGTCACAATTAACTGGGCGTGGTTGGATTGGAATTGGTGGGGCACATTCGCAAGTGGCAGGGGCAGTCAATTGTTTGCACGTGCACATCGGCTGCTCTGGAGCCTGGGGCTGGGGCCGTGGTCGCAAACAAGTGTAAGTATCAGCCAATGGTGCTTGTACAGGTGCGTGTCGCCTATCTTTGTTGGGTACACAGCGGCATTCGACTCTAGATCTCTTTTCATTTTGCATACCTGCCGGTTTCGATTGGCCTGAACCACAAGTTGATTGTTGTTGTTGCTGTTGCTGTTGCGGGCCTGAACAAGATCTTGGTTGTTGTTGCTGCTGATGTTGTTGCTGCGAAGGACAATTAACTTGGTGTTGCGCCTGCGGGTGCATCTGGCCACATTTCCCACATTGCTCTTGTCGAGGCGGCTGATTTGTCTGAGCAGAACATGCACATGTATTACACTTGCCACAGGGAGAACCTGTCAAAAAAGGTCCCAAACTTAAGAAAAAAACGGACAGCTGGATAATTACTGATGGTACTTACTCATATTGTGGCGCCAAAAATAAATCAGAAATTTTGACTGTTTGCTCTATTGCATTCAAAAATGGGAATAATTATGTGTGATTGAAATACAAAAGCTTTTCAGTTTTTGTGATAGTTTTAAAATATTTATATATATTGGCTAAAAGTAACTCAGTAACCGTGTTTTGTTTACGCACTAACCATATAACAGATAGATCAAATAGTGGTGTTCTATTGTTCGTGGTTTACGTTAACGGTTTTGGCGTTGCCAGACTGCATATAATGAACAGTAATATTTTTGGTGTTAATTTTGTGTGAAACTTTTGTGGTATTTTGTGGCTGTCGAACAATGGTCACACCGTCGAAAGTTTTTCTCTTGTTAGTATTTTGTTTGCTTGTTTCGAGTGGATGGTATGTTCTGCGCTGCGCAATCTTTAACGGCTCGTGTTTTCTTGCAGTGCTATTGTGGATTTACGTTGTCAGTTTATTAAAATGTTGTATTTTCAATAAGTCAGTTGTTTTCTTGTAAAAGGTATATCATGAACTTGCAAATTGAGAAACCACTTATCTAACTACCGTTAATATTGAGTGCTTTGGCTATGTATAAATGTGTGCGTGTAAAATTGCAATGCGTATCGAATTTTCTTGTTTTCCCAATAAATTGCAAATAATATAAGGAAACTGCTGGTTCATGTAATGCATCTATGATTGCATGGATATACGGATACTTTCTATTTCTATAAGGTAATTTGCTCAATTTAAAACCTAACTAGCTGCCGGCTTTCCCGCTGGCAAAAGCAGTACCAAAATAAGTACAAGTGAACTCGACGAGCATTGAAAAGCATACACTAATACAAATATATGGTATATAGATATATATACAAACATTAATACATGCATATATTGAAATTGAAACACACAATGCGTACGCAAAACGAGTTGAGAATTTGTATGTATATTCATGTGCACACATGTGCAACAACTATCTATATACATACACATGTGTACTCACTGCCAGCTGTATTCTGATAACGGTGCTTGGCGTAATGTGTATGTGCGCTTCTGTGTTTGTTATTGTTTTGTGGTCGGCTATTCGTTGCCTACAAGCAAAGTATGTATGCATGTATGGGGTTCAGTTCAATATTCATCTCCCTTGCACATTTTTCTATTGTGAACCGTAATTGCCTAATGCATTTCGTGGCAACTATTGGCCTAAGGCCTTTTAACATACATATGCATGTGTGCGTGTGCTATAAATATTTAAGGTGAGTTAACTTGCGAGTTCAAATGAGGTTAAAGGTGTTTATTTATCGATTGAACTTCTGTTTCTCCTGTCTTACAATTTTCTAAGGGTCTAGCAAGGTATTAAAAACTAGGTTTTAATAAAATATAACGCATGCTTAAAACACATTTTATTCAGAATTCATATATAATTCGTTGAATGGAACTGTTAACAACGGAAGAGATACTATAAATAAAACATTATGGATTGATTAATAATAAGATTCATTTCCATTTCTCTATTAGCTTTTTTTTTATCTTATCGGCGCCATGAATCAACAACGGTGGCATTTAAATTGATAAGCCGTTGGTTTAGAATAGGTACTAAAGAACTTCAATGTTTTTATTTACAAGGGCAATATCATAACAAATAATAATACACCCTCATGACTGTGCTAAAACACACATAAAAACGGGTGAAAAAGGTTATTAATGTCATCAAGTGCGAATGATACGTACTTTGTGTGTATATATTTATGCACATACATACACATATGCAGTCATATTATTTACAACTCGTTAGTTAAGATAATATCTGAGTAAACTGTTGCTTGCGTGTGCTATTGCACTCATCGACCGATTCCGATTAATCTAAGCAAAACTCTCGCTTTGTAGTACAATTCGCAAAAAAACTTTGTTCAGAATAGTTCAAATGCGCGAACAAAAGTTACGATAAGATAATAACGGTACTATAGTTAATTGACAGAAATTCTAGTTTCATTTGGTACACAAATCGAGTGAACTTTTTGCATTTAGCTTAATTATTTTTAATGTATTTGATGTAATTCAATTTTATTTGCATTTACATTTTATTATGCCTTTCGCTTTTTCATTACAATTTTAATTAAGTTTTGGCTCGCAATTAAAAGTGAAAATGCAAACAATTAACAATTCTTTTTATGTAATTTTAGTTAAATAATATATAAAATAATACCACTGACTAGGGAAAAGTTGAATAAAGACGCGGGCGAAGTGTAATTAATTATAGAAATATTCGTACATACATAAGTTTGTACGTAAGTATGTGTGTGTGTGTATGTACATATGTACTTAATATCTGTTAAGTATTTATTGCCATAGGGCCTTGCTTATAAAGCTCCCTCACTTGCCAGGCGGAAATGCAAAATATACACATACATATGTAAATCGTATGTTAATTATAATTTGCAAGACAGCTTGTTGTTGTTTATTATTATTATCATTTTTTTAATTTTTCACGAACAAGACCAGATGCATATGCGACTATAATTTCGACTTAAACGACCTTCTAGTCAACTATTAGTAAGCTAGTGTATGTATGCGTGCGTATACATATACACACTAACAAGTATGCATACATGTGTATGTATGTATATGAACACGCGCTCTTGCGAGTCGAGTTCAAAAATGAGTATACAAAAAACTGGCTGCAATTCAAGGCGAAGGTCAAAAAGCTGCACGCCCCAAGTGGAGAGTTATGTTGAGTAGAGTAGAGTAGAGTAGATGAATGGTGGGGAGCGGAGACTGCAGTATATAGAATAGTGGAGTGGAGGGAAGAGGAGAAGTGAATGGGAAAGTAGAGTAGATTGAAGAAGAGTAGAGTAGAGCAGAGGGCAGAGTAGAGTAGAGTAGAATATTAGAGCAGAGCACATCTACTAAGACAGCAATAAATCGGAATGTGTAACGAAAGAATATTAGTAGAGCGCACACAGCAGCTGTGCGGAAGAGAGGAGAGTCAAGTTTAGTATAGCGGCGCAGAGAACAGTATTGGAGAGAAGAGCAGAGCTGTGTAGAGCAATAACTTGTTTTGGAACAACAGTTTTGCTAACGTTGCTCATTTCTTGATGCTGCTTTGCAGCTTCCGAAGTGATTCTACAGAACAAAAAAAAAAAAAATGAAAGAGTATTTCTGGTTGACGCTGCTAACCTTGATCGTTGCTCATACGACGCGTGAGACGTGCGTCGATTGTGTGGGTCATAAATGTGAATTGAGACTATTCTGATTTTATTTATATTTTTATGGTTGCCCCTTAAAATGCCACCAAAATGTGGGCGACACATATAATTATCCTTATGTATGTATGAATGTATTTTTGTTTACGGTCAAGGCGTGCTTTGGACTTCGGGTATTCGCTTAGTCGTTCGCTCTGTCAGACAGACAGGTATACTAAAAGGTGTTTGTGTATCTAATTAGCAGCAACAAAGGTTGCTCATATACATACATACATACACATACATGTGTATATAAGCATGTGATCTTTGCCTTTGCCGGTGCGAGCTATTTATCGCAATGAACACGTATCGATGACTTAGATTATTTGGTTCTCCACAAATTCCAAAGGCCCCACAAATGGCGAGGGTAAGGCAATTATATCTATGTATATTCCGCAACTCTTTTTACGAACTGTAATTTCGAACATTAGTTTATAATTTTGTATAATATTGATTCGGTTCGCTGCTTATCAGCCGCAAAGCTAAAGAATCGAACGTTGATGCGTGGCAAAAAAAAAAAAAAAACAAAAGAACTAAAATAATCTGAAGGCTTTACTAATTGTGAAATATGAAGTCACTTTTTCTAGTAAATACAAATTAAATTATGAAAATACATTTAAATATATCTAAGATAAGGATTTATTATACAGTTATTTTTTGTTGTCTTTAGAGCATATTTTAAAGAACATTCAATTACATTGAGCGTAAAATTAACATGTCTATCTAAAATTTAACACGTTAAATCATTGAATCCGTTGCACTTGACTGCGTAATACTCGTTCATTATTACAATTTAGTAAGACTTTAAGCTTAAATTAACTAGATCAGATTGAGCTTATCTCTTTGCCTTTGTTGATTTCAGATTTAAAAAAAATATATTTTTAGGTAGTTATTTTTATTTTTTATAGGATGAACAACCATGCTAATATACCCATTTTTGCAAGTTGTGAACGAGCATGTGTATTTGCAATTCCATTATTAAGCTTTGCTTAGAGCTTTGTGTATATAAAAATTACTTATATTATACATGCAGTTGTTACTCTTTTAATATCTCTTGAGTAGTATATATGTATCTATTGTATATACATTTACTTAACTCGTTAAAGAAAGACAAAAAGAATAAAAATAGCAAGGGAGCTCAGTTTTATGACTGGGGCAGTAAAATGAGTACGCAATTCTAATGGAAACCTGTTTTCCTCTTCTTCTTTTACTTCTATTGTATGGCAGAGTCAGAGTGATCCGAAGATGACGCAGAGCGGCAGCACAGAATTTGCCAAGACGACAACAGCTGGAGGAGCTGGGGATGTTTATGGTGGTGCTGCGTCCGGCGCCGCTGCCTGCTCCTCGTCGGACGTGCTGCTAAACAATTTTCAGCTGAAGAAGAAGAGCTATCGAGTGCTGCTCCATGGCCAGCATCTGGTGTGGGAGCGCATGCAGCGCCATTCCGTTAAGCGGCCAAACGAAACACAGAAAGTGCCGCTGCCCGAACAGCAGCTGACGGTTGGCGCTGAGGGCAGCTCATATGGCGCCCATAGCCATATTCTGCACATGGACGACATCGTCAGCATTTGTGCGGGCAACAGCAAGCACGAGAGCCTTCAGCCGCCGCCCTCTAATCGGGATCAACAGCAGGCGGATGGCGACACAAAGCCCACGGCACAGTTCCTGACCATCAACTATGCAGAACGCCTGAGCAAATCCAAGACAGATTGCAATCGCTGGCAGCTGCGCCGGATCACCTTCTACAATGCGGATGCGTACATTGTGCGCCAGTGGCAGCGGCAGCTTCAGGCTCGCGTCGCATCCTCGCCAACAGGTGGCCAGCGGGTGCAGCGCCTGTTGGTGTTCATCAATCCGTTTGGCGGGCGCAAGGCTGGCGCCCAGACCTATGAGCGTTTCGTGCGCCCGCTCTTTCAGCTGGCGGGCATCGATGCCACCTGCATAACGACGCAGCGCGCCAATCAAATCCGAGACATTCTGCTCACCCATGATCTGAGCTGCTATGAGGCGGTCTGTTGCGTGGGAGGCGACGGCACCGTGGCTGAAGTCATCAACGGCCTGGTCTTTCGCCGCATGCGTGAGCTGGGCCTGGACGAACAGCGTCCAGCCTATATACCGCGACCCACTTTGCCAGTTGCCGTGATACCCGCTGGCAGCACCGACACCATTGTCTACAGCATGCACGGCACCGCGGACGTGCGCACTGCCGCCATTCATGTGGTGCTCGGCCAGAGGCGCGGCCTCGACGTCTGCAGCGTGAGCAACAATCGCACGCTGCTGCGCTTCTGCGCCAGCGTCCTGAGCTATGGCTATCTGGGCGATGTGGCGGCCGAGAGTGAGCAGTATCGCTGGATGGGCACCAGACGGTATGAGTACAGTGGCATCAAGGCCTTCTTCAACAATCGCGGCTACGACGCTGAGCTGCAGCTGCTCGAGGAGCCCACAGAGCCGGAAACACCGCAAAGTCCGGCCAGCATTTACACCGAGCCGCCGTCTGTGTGCTATGCCAATTGCCAGCGCTGCAGCATTGCCAGCTCGCTGCAGGAGCAGCGTTCTACCTTGTTTGCTGCGCATGCTGATGGGAGTCGAGAGGAGTTGCAGCCACAGCAGGCTGAGCAGCAGAAAAAGTTGGCGGAGCAGCAGGCGCAACTCAACGATGATGCAACCGTTGCCGTCAACTGCGAGTCGCAGCTGAATGAAATCGAAACGGCATTGTACCGGTCTCAGTTGATGCGTCCGACTAGTTTGCCCCTGCAGCCAGGTGGGTCATATGGCTCCAACATGAGCCTGCCCAGCGGCCTGCAGTGGAAGACCATACGTGGAAATTTCTTTCTGATCTGCGGGGCCAACATCACGTGCGCATGTGCACGAAGTCCCAATGGCATCTCGCGCTATAGTCATTTGGGCGACGGCTGCTTGGACCTGATTCTGGTGCGCAAAACTTCGTTTCTGAACAATGTGCGGTTCCTGTTGAATACGGCGGGCCGAGCCGGCGATATTGTAAATATTGACAATATAGTATATGTATATAAGTTTAAAAGAACTTACTAGAAAATTTTCTATATTTCAATTGCAGCGTAATTTACCTTTTGTTGAGGTTTACCGGACACGCAAGTTCATCTTTCGAACGTTCACAGCGCCCGCAACAGAGGAGAACTTGAGCTTGGCGGGCTCTCGCCAGCCAATTGCTCAGAACGGCGGTAATGGGGTCAGCTCGGAGTACTCCAGCTGGAATTGCGATGGAGAAGTTGTTACCGATCTAGACATAACAATGAGGCATGTAGCATACATACATATATTGGAAACATGATTTCAACTCTTTTTGCCCATTTACAGCTCCCATTGTCAGCTCATAGATGTTTTCATGCGTGGTCCACATTCCTATAGTAAGCCACAAAAGCCAGGTGTTAGTGCGCCCACAACGCCAGTCAGCTCAAGTGATAATATTTATTGTTGCTGCAAGGATTAGCAGTTTATTGGTAAAGCTTTAATTATTAAGATATTGAACATTGGCCGTGACTGTAGATTGTAATGATGTATATTACTTTATTATTGAAAATTCTGAAAATTATGTACATAGATATAAATATTTTTTAGTAGTTAGAATGCTGTACTCTGTACTTGATATTCTATTCATCTGTATTATGCGATCTGTAAGATGCAAGCAAAATTAAGAAACATTCCCCTGTAAGGTGTGCATTAAATAAATATATATCCATATATATTTGTATCCTCTACTGAAATATTATTATAAAAATAAAGGTTTTCATGTATTTTTAATCAAAATTATGTTTTGTTTTGCTACATAAAAAAATTCCAATTCGGACTTTCAACTTTTGCGCCCGATTGTTGTGACAGAGCTGCCTGTCGCCTTAGCGTTTGGCTACCCTGGTTACATTTATCGATAGCTACATATATCGATATTGCAAAAAATACTATGTGCAGTGCTGCAAAGCTTAATAATTGTGTCGCTATCTAAAACTGTTCGGCTTTTTATTTGTGCCTGTCATTCTGCGATTGCTTTAGCTGTTGTTTCCATTTGATATCAAAGTACTCTAATTACAGCAGTTAAAATGATGAACAACAGCTGTGCACAGCCCATGTGGCTCAATGGACCTTCGCCCGGTCAATTCTACAACTTCATGGGTGGCAATAACGCCCCAGCACAGCTGCCTCGTGAATTAACAACGGCAGGTCCCTATGGCACCAAGCACAGCACGTAAGTAAATGCAACTGGACTCATGATTAAATTGCATTCTAAATTCTGGTACATTTGTAGCGCTGCTATAACTACCGGCTCTTCAGTGTTGGGCATTAGATTCGATAAAGGAGTCTTGGTGGCCGCCGATACCCTTGTCTCGTACGGCTCGCTGGCTCGTTACCAGAACATCGAACGCGTCTTTCAGATTAACAACAAAATTTTACTTGGTGGCGGTGGCGACTTTGCTGACATACAGTCAATTAAGCGCAGCATTGATCAGAAGATGATCGAGGATCAGTGCTGCAATGATGGCGTCGTCATGAAGCCAGCCGAGTTGTCCAGCTGGCTAACGCGTGTGCTCTACAATCGACGTTGTCGCATGAATCCCCTCTATATCGATGTGGTGGTGGGTGGTGTCGATGAGGCTGGCAAGCCATTTTTGGGCAATGTGGATCTGCGTGGACGGGCATACGATGATTATGTTGTAGCAACCGGCTTTGGACGTCATTTGGCTCTGCCGCTTGTGCGTGAGCGCAAGCCCAAGGATCGCGAATTCACATTCGAGGAAGCAACCAAATTGGTAAGAACAAAATCTACATTACTTTTGTAACATTTGATAATCGTGTATCTGTGTATTATAGATTCGCGAGTCAATGAAGGTTCTGTATTATCGTGATACACGCAGTCTTCCTCAATATACAGTGGGTATTTGCACTGCCAATGATTGCAGCATTAAGGGACCTTTCAAAGTGGAGGAGAACTGGACCTTTGCTGAGGGTGTCACGGGCTACTAGTTTGCATTTTATCAAATATAATGTATCATAAGAGACGAAAAATATTAATAAAAGCTGTGGCTTCTTTTGGAAAAATATATACATATTAAATTTGAGATTTAACATTTTCTAATGGTAATTGGATATTTGATTTTATTTAAATTATATAAAATGTTGCTAAATATTATTTAAATTAATTTTGATCTATTGAGAGACAAATTTAAACAATAATTGTTAATAACTTTTGCCGGAATACAATGTCTTAAGTCGCCAACGCCAAAGGCTTCTTGTTGGCCCTTCAATTGAGCATCGTATGCCGGTCATAGATGTGGCGTCTTTGTTCACGCACTTGACGCTTCCATTTGTCCTGCTGATGGCCAACACGATTGAGAACATTAGCTCGAGCGCTCAGCTCTTGATTGTTGGCACTCGCTGGCAGAGGCGGGGCTGGTTCGTCCTATCAGCCGCATCAAAAATAGAAGGAAAATTTGAAGCGTATTAGTTAAGGCCGGTTAATGGGTTAATTAATAAACACAACAAAGAGGTTTGGTTAGAGCGTGCGAATTGAAAAATTAAATAAAATAAAACAAAAATATGTATACATATATATAAATCGCCTTTTGCCATTAGGCATCAAACGCTAAGTACTTCTTTATTGCCAACTAGCTGCGTCTCATCATCATCATCATGATCATGATAATGATCAACATCATCATCATCATCATCAGGAGTAGCAACTAGTTGACTATATTTTATGCCTGCATATTTAGAATAAGTGTTATGTACATCTTCATTGGTGTGCTCCTGATAATTGTTCGTCTTGACGCGTTTGTTTAGCAACGGATCCAAGCACATTAGGAAGAGCATATATATCACTAAAATGGATATTATCCAGATCACAATGATGACGACCACCTGGAAAAGAAAAATTACAAATTAAAACTAAATAAGCCAAATGCAGTCAATTATTATTATTCACACCTTTATGAGTGTGGAATTGCGTCCGACAGATGAGCATTTGCACTTGGCGCATGTGGGAAGCTCCCTGCCATTGGCATCCAATTGTGGCGCCAGGGAGCCAGCACAGGTACTAAACATACGATAATATTTAGCAATATTTTATATGGAATTTCATAAATGTATATAAAGGGCATACAAACCATTCATGTGAATTAATGCTTGCATTGGAGCTCGTTATTGTGCTGCTTATTGTCTTTAGCGTTGCAATTGTTGGTGCTGGGGTAACTGCTGCCGCTTTGGCAGGTGCATTTGGTGGACTGACATTGTTGTTGCCGCTGCTGTTGTTGCTACTGCTAATGGGCAATGTTTGTGTTGCTGTCTCAGCCTTTGTTGTTCAAAATAAAATAAAAACAATTGTCATCGAAGTTACGACGTAGTTTATGATTCTACAACGCTTACCCATGTCACGCCAACTAAATAACATATCGCCAATATTACAGCGTAGATAAATAAGCGCTTATGTGCCATTAATTTCTGCTTTAATGAAATTTTTCTTATTTTCACGGAAAAAAGAATGCAATATTTGCAGAGACACAGAATAATCCCTATCGCATATCGATAAGTTCAACTCAATTGATACTGCTGTGCCTCAGCTGTTATGTTATAACATATTATATGCTTTTTTAAAAAGTGCATATTTTTAGCAGATAAAATTTGACTCCAACTTTTATTAATGATGCAATAGCTCCTAAGATATTGCATCATTAATAAAAGTTTGAGTCAAATTTTATCCCAATTTTCAGAGTAATAAAATATGTCGCTTATCATTGGCCGATAGTCGCGATTCACCCGCAAATCTTTGGACACAGCTGTTCTGTTATTCGGTTCTTTGAGTCAGTTTACTGAACACACCTCTATCGTTCGCTCACCAACACTAACACAATCTGTCAAAATCATTTGTTTGCGTGTGCTTATTTCTATGCCGCAATCGGCGTTTCTAACATTTTTACATTCTAAATATTAGCTTAAGTACTTAATTGTTAACATAAGAGAAAAGACAGGATGCTACACACACTACTCTTCGTTGCTCTAGCATTGATCAGCAGCTTGCCCTATAACAATGGTACGTATATTTTGTAGCGTTTATGTGGGCCGCTGTGATTGGCCACGAAGCCTTTTCCGCCCCACAAAGCGCAATTTGTTGATTCCTATCAATACAATAACAGCAACAACCACAACGAAAAACACTGTTTCTTTAAGCTGCCAAGACCAACTATGTGACATGTGGTTCCATACTGAAATTGCTCAACTCTGATTATTCGTATCGCTTGCACTCGCACGATGTTAAATACGGATCGGGATCGGGACAACAATCGGTGACGGGTGTAGAACAGAAAGAAGATGTAAACAGTCATTGGGTGGTTAAGGCACAAACTAAGAAGCTATGCGATCGTGGTGAGCCCATTGCTTGTGGAGCAACCATTCGATTGGAGCACTTGACCACCAAAAAGAATCTGCACTCGCATCATTTCTCGTCTCCGCTTTCCGGCGAACAAGAGGTATCCGCCTACGGCGTCGATGGAGTTGGTGATACTGGCGATAACTGGGAAGTGATTTGCTCCAATGAAAGTTGGATGCGTGATGCACACGTTAGATTGCGCCACGTTGATACTGGCATGTATCTGGGCATGTCGGGACGATCGTATGGTCGACCGATTTCAGGACAAATGGAAATTGTGGGTCTTCACAGTCCACAGCACGGCACACGTTGGACTACCTCTGAGGGCCTATATATCGTGCCAAAGGACAAGGACTCGATGCCGACAGAATATGCTCACACAGAACTGTAGTCAGTGGTCCATGACAAGGATTTTACTATTAGTTGATTAACTTATAATTTAGCTGAATTTATGTAAAGCGAACCAGTTTGTTTGCATTAAAAAGAACAATTCAATTTGTGCGAAAACCTGAGCTCGTTTTATTACGTTTCTTAACACTGCCGGAGCAGGCGTTGATTATTTTAGTTCGTTTTGTGGCTTCGTCGCGTCGGACGCAAGCGGTGTTGCTAAAAGTGAAAATATAGCTATTTATCTATATTTTTATATACTTAATTATAACGTGCAATACGGTTACGCGACGGTTCTATGTCAGACCGATTAACTAATTGCATATTACGTATATTAACATGTAAGTATGCATTTAATTGCATATAAACACAGATATACACTCACACATACATGCGGTGCGAGTGTATATACATATGTATGTGTGTTTGTTTTAGCGCGCGCTTTTCTACTCAAGCACCTAATATTACGGGTTTTGACAGCTGTAAGCCCTTCACAGTTACTTGTTTGCACTTTTAACAAATTTACTTTTTAATGATTACCAGCTGTTTGCCTATTCATAGATTAAACATTAATTATATCTATATAGCATTGTATATATGTATGTACATATATATACATATATATCTTAGATATATATAGATATATACATATGTGTATGTATCAGATATAGTTTTGTTTTGTGTTTGGAAAGAAAGACAAATTCGATTGTACGCTGTAGCAAACTGTAGAAAATTTCAGTTTTTACTTATCAAACAGATAGCCATGATAACAATGTTCTATAAACGGCGAATTCCAATTATTTAAATAAATTTAAATGTATATATTTTTTATTTTTAAGACTAGGAATTTTTGGATTTTAGGGTACTTAATATTTGTAGAAAAAATAATGATTTTGTATTATTAGAGTCTTGAGTAATATCACAATTACCCTAAAAAAACAAAAACATGTTTTCTTAATATTCTTAACTGGTTTTATAACAATGATATATTTAAATTTACAATTTGTTTTTACTGTTGCACTGTAGTGCATATCAACGAAGGTTACTTCTGCCTATAGATATGGAAATTCGTGCCTATTAGATGGTTGGCTGGATGACTGACTGGGTGGGTGGCTGGCTGGTTTGCTGGCTGTTTGGTCGGTTTGTTGCTTTGTTTCTTTTGTTTAGAGCTTAGTCAAATGCTTTGTATGCACATCCCGTCAGTCAGCAGGCTTACTAAGGTCATATGCCAACAACAGCCGTAGCAGCAGCAGCAGCAGCCTCTAGCTATAAACATATTCACAGATTTCGCATAATCGCATTGTCCTTGTAACCATTTAGATGTTAAATTGCTTTACAACTAGCTAGAATAGCGATATCAAATATAAAGCTAAAGACATACATAGATTATCTTAGATATTCGCGGAATTAATGCCAATAAAGATAAGCTTTAGGATTACTAAACAAAAATGATGTCAAGTATATAATCAGAGAGTCCTTAGCGTATGCTTGTTGTGCCATTTGAGGAGTCTAAAAAAGGATATAATGAGGATATAAACTAAAACTGAAAGAAAGTAGATTAGGACTCTTCCAATCATATATTTGCTTATGCTGCAGTTGCTATTAAATTTAACTCATATCATAGCTTGATTTTTGTCGATGGCGTTTCATAGTGGATATGTATTTTTGATTGTGAATATGTTTCGGCCAAAACATCTCGTTTGGCTTTATCGATTCTTGTTTATCAGCGGGTCCCGGCCAGCCTTCAAAGGCCTTCATCGCTGAATGACGACGCGCAGTTAAAAATTCCGATTGACTTGACAAACTGACAGATTGACGAACGTTTTGTTCGGAATGTGCTCTGTGCCATGGGCAACAAAATATTATAATATTATGCACAAGTGTGGGCGTGACTAGCCATATACATGTATGTAGCTCCCTATTTCTCTCTAACATATATGCGTACCCTCTTTCTCTCTCTCTATCTCTCGCTCTGCCTCGTTCTCGCTATTTATTTCGCAAACACTCACACACACATATACACACGTGCACGCCTCACATACGCACGCCTGCATGACTGAGCAATAAAAAAGTGTTGCCTCCTTTTGTGCGCTGGACTGGTTCTTTTTTAAAGCGCATGTAAATAAAGGCAGTTTGATATTAAAAACTTATTTATAATAAACCATTCTTATAGCGCGAAGCCTAAGCACTTTGTTTATACATTTTATCTCTCTAATTTTAAGGTAAGACTCAAGAAATTTCTAGACAAATCAAGAACGTTTATTATTATATGTATATATGTATATTCATGTATTTCTATCTGTATATATGTACATATGTATGTCTAAAGATGTATATTTGCGAAGACCAATTTACTTTATCAATCTTTCTCAAGGCCAATGAGAATATCCGGCTCTTATTCCTTTTGACCACTCCGAATACGATACCCATACCAATTGAAGCCCACTCAGCAAATACAAATTTTAATCAACGCTGCCACGTGTCAGGACAACAACAACAACAATTACAATAGCAGTTATAGGCATCAATAACTGTACAAACGCGCCTACAAGGTCAAAGCGAGAAATTCTATCAAACAGAGCAACAAAACGGTTACAAAACAGACTCTCACACAGACACACGCACACACCGACATACACACGAACGCACAATGACAAGACACACGCGCGTGGGTTAGCTTGTCCATTGAACCTACCGAGTCGAAATTGCAAGTGACAACAAAAATTGAAATAGAAACAAACGCACATTACATAAACTGCGATAACCCAACAAACATTTTCTTTGCCTTTTGTTGTTGTAGAGCAAAAGAATTATGTTTACATTTAGTCTGATTCTCGTATTTGCATAGATAACTCCGCTTATTTACATAGATTTGAATTTCTGACCTAACCTAAGCTTGCGCTAACTTCGTTACCCAATAGACAATTTTCGTGAAGAACTTTCAGCTGCGTGTGTGCGTGAAATGTAATTGGCAGTAAATCAATTTTGTCCAATTTCGATGTACAATGGCACAAAACGTCGAGACATATGTATTCTATAATAAATAATTGCGATACGCTGATTGTGTGTGGGTGTCTGTCTGTCTATGCCTATGTGTGCGTGTGTGTGTCATACTTGGTGAGTGTCAGAGACTTCAGCGATTTAGCTGCCAGCCATTTGCGTGGGAGTCGTTTGGCGTGTGCGTTTGGCCTTCCTGTCGCTTTACCTCTATCCTTTTGGCTGTTGCCCGTTGAAGCAGTTCTCTCATCGCACTTAACATTGAAAACCGAAAACAAGCCCCTAAGTGGGCCAAAAAGGCCTGTCCACAACAACAGCAATTGTAACAATAACAACAACATCTGCTGACGCCGCTCTCAGCGAGAGTGCGCAGCAATCTAAAGCCGTACCCAAGTCAAATAGAGCAATAACAACAAACACACACATCCAGAGAACAGCGCAAAAGAGAGACAGAGGGAGAGAGAGCGCGCGTACACACACATATGCACACATACTTAGCCACATGTCGATTGTTGATAGTGAAAGTTTTGTGACAGCAACAACTGCAAACAGTTTGTGGTTTTTGAAGTTTACAGTCTACTGTTAATGTCGGCGAAAGCAAAAGTTTGCAATAATGTCATAAATAACAAAAAATAGTTAACGTTAATTAGTTAAAAACTTAATTGAATATTAATGAATCAACTAA